AACGATTCTGATTGGCTAATGGCTCTACAGCGGTAGTGTACGGTTGGGCCGATGGCGGTACAGCGGTCCCGCTGTACTTTCTGTACCAAGCCTTTTATGTTCTGTTATGCGAACTACCGCTAGGCAACTGCAGCATGCTAGCTAGAGCTACAATCCCTCCAAATGCCGTACTTCATTGATCCGAACCACAGTGGCCTTTGGAATCTCGAGTGAAAAGTCCCTGGGTGCTTGAGACAGAAAACCACCTACCAGTCTGCTTTTGGGCCCTACCGTTTGTGTTTTGCCGGATAGGTTGACATCGAGCACATTGATAGATCCATTGGCAGTTACTAGATTGGCCCCTTCGACCAAAGACTTGCCCAAGAAGACTGCCAATAGCATTCGAAGGTATTGGGAATGTGTAAAGGCAGCCACGCACCGATTGGGGCATTCGTCACTGGCAGCGGCCTTGGCCAATGTTTCGACCGCTTGTACGGCGCGATAAATCACCTAGTTGTTTGGGAACAGTTACAGAGCATTGAGATTGAAACAGGAAAGGATTGAGATGCTCCATCTTTAATAACAAGTTGGTATCTTGCAGCAGTGTAAGACCAAATTGATCCACTAGAACTTACATCTCTCCCACTGTCACCCCCGCCCTCTGGTCGAAAATCCACGTCGCCCATGCTCCACCTTGCATAGGTGGCCATCATGCCCGGTTTGGCGTCGTCTACACGCTGTCCTTCTGCGACGGGACCAAAATCCACTTCCATCAAGGCATCGAGTGCTTGCAATTCTTCTTCTTCTTGTTGTTTACCCATCATGGCATTCCTGGCTTGTTGTGCCGTCTGTCGAGCCCTTACCAGTGGGGAGCAATAGACGAGAGATGGTGTCACTGGAAGAGCGTTGGCCAATGCCAATCCGGTTCGATATCCCTGTTGTCGTCCTAGTTCGTTGAGGGGTGCATTGACCCGTGCTCCTTGGACCAGTCGGAGTCGGTTGTTTTCGGTTTGGCCATGGCGACAGAAGAAAATGCGACACGTGTCAGTAGCCAAAGGTGGTAGATCCACAAGAGCGTCCAGGTAGTTGTCGGTTGTTGTGGCAATGGCATTGGATGGGCGATGAAAGCTGGTAGTGGCGAGTGCTAAAGAACTACCGTAGGAGAGGACTTGTCGACGGTTCCACGGATCAATACTACTATTAAATTGTTCCTTTGGTACCACACTGTCCTCGTCATGGTCATGGTCCTCGTTGGTGACAGCACCTCGCCTCGACGTACTCTTGTAGTGACAGGAAACGCTACTCGACTGGACTGTGAAGCTCTGGACTATTGATGATGGCGTCCATAGTACCCATAGCGAGATTGCCCAGACTGCAAATGCCGACACCATTGTTCAAAACAAGCAATGTTGCTGCTGACAGTGCCGTCATCCGATCGCCTTGACAAGGTGCCGATCATCAATGTCAAAACCTCCGTGATGTCTGAGTCCGGTCACGAATGCAGAAAGATCGAAAGATTAGATCCATCAACCGACAGCTAGCCTCCAAGAAAATCTTTTCAAGTCGACAAAGCACACAGCCGCCAACCACAAGCCACACAACTACTAGTACCGTACGTAGGATCAGACTGTCCAAGCCATCCTTGTTGTTTGCTGTGCAACTATCTAGCTAGCTAGCAGTCTATGCTTTCTTACTAGCAGAAGTACTCTCTGAAATTAGCAACGACTGCCATACACACACACTATTACTACAATGAGCGATCATCAAACCCCGAGCAAAGATGGCGTCCAAGTAGAAGGAGGCACATTGAAAGATCGGCTGGCCCTCTTGGAAGAACAAAAGAAACGGGATGCCGCTCGATCTGCCGAAAAGAAATCGTCCGTGACCATTGAAGGTGGCGGTTTGAAGGATCGCATGGCCGCTCTGGAATTGCAACGTCAAAAGGAAGCGGCCAAAATGACGCCTTCGAAACTGGTCGATATGGAAGGCGGCGTCAATTTGGAAGAGCGCAAACGATTGTTGGACGAACAACGACGACGGGAAGCCGCTCGATTGGCGGCACGACAATACGCCTTTTTGTCGTCCGATGAATTGATCAAGGAACGGACCAAATGGATTCATGCCGGCAGTGCCGAAAAATCGATTGAAAAGGCGGCCATTATTATTGAAGGAGGTGGGTTGAAAGACCGCATGCAATTGCTTGAGTATCAACGACAACAAGAAGCCGAACGTCTCGTCAGTCGCAATACGGAAATGTCCGAAATTAGTGACGATCTCATTGCCGAACGACTCCAATGGATGGACGAACAATTGGCCGCCAACGCCGCATCCACCGAAACTAGCAACAACAAGGCGGCGGTCATGGTGGAAGGTGGAAATCTACAAGAACGACTGAGACTGCTGGAGGAGCAACGACGTCGTGCCGCCGAACGGGCGACGCACAAAGAAGACTTGTCGGGAATTTCCGATGATCTCATTGCCGAGCGACTTCGATGGATGGACGAACAAGAAGCCAAAGAAAAGGAAGCAGCGCAAGCAGCAGAAGCCGGCGGAAAGGATACCGACATTATCAAGGGTGGAAGTTTGAAACTACGAAAACGACTTATTCAAGTACAGTACCAACGAGAAGCCCAACGATTGGCCGTCCGACGGCTCGTCGAAGTATCGTCCCAGGAAACGGTCCGAAATCGCATGCAATGGCTTGCCGAACAACAACAGCAACAACAACAAGGCGCCGCCAAAACCACATTAGAACAACACGAACTCGTTTCCAATGACTTGATTGCCGAACGACTCGAATGGTTGAAAGAAAGTGCCGAAAAGGCGGCGCAATTGCCCGAAAAGGAACGCGTCGAGGTCACCAACAACCTCGTCGCCCAACGAAAAGCATGGCTCGACGAACAAATGCAAAAGGCGGCCCAATTGCCACCCAAAGAACGCATTCAAGTATCACAAGGACTCATTGGGGAACGCATGCAATGGTTGTCGCAACAAATGAACCGCGCCGATCAATTGACGCATACGGAACGCACACAAATGACATCCGATCTCATCTCGGAACGATTGGCATACCTCGAAGCACAGGCAATTGCTGCCAATGAACACGAGACCAAGGAAAGTCTCGAAATGCAAATCACATTTCTGGAAGAACAGCAACAATTGGAAATGTCCGAAGAAGAACAAAAGGAAATGGCGAATGTACTCATTACCGAAAAGATGCAAGATCTGGAACAACAAAAGGAACTCATTGCAGAAATCTCGGAAGAACAACAAATTGAAGTCACTCAAGCATTGCTGGAAGATCGACAGGCGTGGCTGGAGGGGGATCAAGAGCACTATGTGCGCAAGCGAGAGGAGCAAAAGGCAGCGCAAGAAGAAGCCGAAGAACGAGCATTGGAAGAACAACAAACAGCCGCACGGATTGCCGAAGAAGTGGCCAAAACGGTGGCCTTTTGGACGCAACAAAAGGAGGAAGCAGCCACTATGGACATTGCAGGACGATCCCAAATTACAGCCTTTTTGATTGCGGAACATCTAGTCGTGCTGGAGGAACAGCTGGCGGATCCAGAAGCAGATGAGGATACCAAGGCGTCTCTGGAACAGCAAATTGCTTTTTTGAACGACCAAGTGGAGAATATCGAGGATATTGATCATATGATGATGATTGATGTACTGGTGCAAGAAAAGGTTGCCAATTTGGAGAAAATGTTGCCAACTAACTACCAGTAGCTAGCCAGACAGCCAGTCGACGATAGTACGCATGTTGGAGATCTCGGCGAAAGGAAGCCGTGCCATGTGGTTGGGTTGAACCTTGCTGCTTAATGCATCTTCCGCATCAGACTTGTCGAGTTCAGGGTTCCTATCAGTAATAACGAAAATGCTACTAGGAAACAGCTTTGATACTCTCTTCTATGTAGTACTTCGTCCCAGGATTACTTATTAGTTGGCTGCTACTGCCAGAAAGCCGGCGGGGGGCTTAGCTTCGGAGGGGGTAAACATGAGATGAAACTCAGGGCAAGGTTCGGTGGGACAGAGGGTTCTGATAAGGACCAATCATACCTCTACGTCGCAATCCAAGTCTTGGATTCGATTCTCGCTCTTAACTGCTTCTTCCGCAGAACAAAGTCCCGTACATGTTACAGGCAAAAAACTTGTCCACACCCATTTCCAAGGATGGAGCTTCGATTGTCCAAAAATTTTCGCCGAATGGATTCTGCTTGACATTCTCCTGCAGTAAGTTGGCATTTTGCTCCCTTAGCAAGGCCAAATCCTTCACGGCTTCCGATTCATTGTATGAGGTGAAGTAGGTGGGGACATTGAGACCTAGAATGACTTGCAAACTAGTCTTCCAACTCTCCGTATCAACTTCATGAATGCCAGAGTTAAATGCCACAATCAGATCAGGTTTGTTGTGACGATGTGTTTGGAGATAGAGTTGTTCGTACTCATGGTACGTGTATCCAAACATGCCTACTTGTCGCTCTCTACGCCGTGCCTGACAATCAGGGCAAGGCTCATGGGTTTTTGTCGGATATTCCTGAGTTGGAGGCTTGATTGACTTGCAAGCTGCCGGACCCACAAATTGAATCGTCAGTGTTTGCACCTGTGGCAGAAAATGTAGAATCTCTTCCCAAACATGAGTCGCTGGAACCTCATAAGTGTCAGCTCCAACAATGTGAATGGTGAGTTCTTTCTTCGTGATAAAGTGCTCTTTTCCGTACTTGAACATGGCATAGAGGCATGTAACTGGCTGGGACAGGAGCGATGTTGATGCAGCGTAGAATCCAGGCACATAATCGTTTGGTCTGTAGTCCTCGGCAAACCTAAGTTGAAAGTATGCTTCCCAGTTGGTGGGAAAGGCAGTGGGAGAATCTCGTTGTGGTCTTTGTGGCATGGCGAGAAAATTCTCGTTGAAGTTTACAATATGCTTGAATTTGAATAAGGCAATGGCCGTTGCTTGTTGGTATTTTTGGCAAATCTCCGTTGTGTGGCGACCACTGTATTCCTGCCAGTGTTGTTCGCCACAGCACCAGCCATAGTTACATTGAGGACAGCATTTCCAATCAATGATAGCAGCTGGGCTTTGGAAATCATTCTTGAGACAAATGGAACAGGCTCTGCATGTCGCAAAACCAATGAAACGAGCAGTGTCGGCCTTTTCGAACTGTTCCATCGTGGGAAGGTTGGGATCAGATCCGCCCATAAGTAGAAGTGGGACGGATTGGAGAAAGTTGTGCGCTTTCGTCTGTCGATCAGCAGGAGACCCAGGGAGGATGTCATACCCAGCTTTGAATGCCTTAAGCAGCTTGCACTCGACCTTGTGCTTTTTCCAGTCCGACTTCTGGCAGTCTTTCGAACAATAGAAAGCCTGCTTGCAGCTTGTACACTTGAGGAGCCTGCCATTGTTCTCGCAGCATTTTGCGCAACACTTGCCACAGTACGCCAGATTAATTGGCAGGACCTGGAAGTCCACCATGGTTACTTCTCTACCGATTTATTTGCTTCGGGGCGATCGGGTTATGGTTGGCTGCAGATAATGCCCGGAATCATCAAAGATCTTTGGCGTATCTTACAAAGCATTAACCTGCTGAGCTGATAACGTCTTGAGGGACCTCCCGGGCTAACTCTCGTATGTACCGGTACCGGTACCGGTGGCAGTCTGAAGCCATGAAGGCACAAAAGAGATCCTCTCACCTCTCACTGCCAGCGGTGAGATATTCCCATAGCAATTTTCAACAATACAGGATACAGATAGACTTTGTCATGATGGAGATGGAAGAGCTTTTGCAAGGGCCACCTGATGTCAAGGCGGAGAGAGTTTGTTGGGGCTGCCAAACAGCGGAGCCCACTGGCAAGAGATTCGAGCAGTGTCCTCAATGCCATCAAGAAGGCTTTATTCCAGCAGTATTCTGCTCCCAGAAGTGCTTCAAGAAGGCTTGGCCAAGACACAAAAAATGGCATAACCAGGAAGCTACAAATCAGAAAAATGATTTTTCAATTGACTTTGGTTTAATCAATCCTGATCTTGTGGAAATTTGGGGTCGGAATATATGTTTATCTGTTTTCTTCAGCAGAAAGGAAGATATATGATGGAGATATTGCTGGTGCCAAGAAGATGCTTCGCAAATCTCAAAAGCTAGAGCCACCGGAAGCTTTTGATAGACTTGCTGAATATTTCCAAGCTTCCGGACAAGAGGTGGAAGGCTGGTCATGCTTGGAGGAAGCATGCAAACGCTGGGCATTTCTTGCCCTGAATGGGCATCGCGCTGAAGAACTGATTCACCGTGGTTCTTATGCTATTGACTTTTGGGCTAATTGCATCGGAAGACTTACTTTTCATTATATTCAAAAAACTAACAACCAGCAGAATAAGCCAAATTGGTGGCGCCATGATGCCACGATCAAGAGAGTCACAAGGGTGGCCCTCAATACATACAAGAAAAGGGCTGAGAATGGTAAAACCATTTTTGGGTTGACGAATGGAGCTGATTTTGGCCAGATAATTTTCCAGTTGTCCTGCATGCATGCATACGCTTTGTCAAATCACTCAAGGAATCCTCAAAAGCAAGCTTGCGTTTCATGGAACATCCCAAGAGTTGAAGGAAGCATCTGCTCTATTCAAGTATGTATCCGAAAAGGATGAAGACGATGCTGAAAAATACCAAATCCATTCTGACATAGCAATGGAATGTGCTACAGAAATGGAGCACACAGAGGAGGGCACAGAAGTTGGCGCTGATGTGGAGAGGGGGGAAGCTGGTTTGTGGGTTTTGATCCATGGTCTTGTAAGTCCTTCTGGTTTGAGAATGAATGGCAAGTTTGGCACTGTTTACTTGGATGGGTTGGAAGAGAGCCGAGTTGCAGTAAAGGTGGATGGAATCAGTGCATCTAAACGGATCAAACCCAAGAATCTACTGGAACTTCCGTTTTCAGAGAAGACAGTGGACCTCATTTCAACTCTGAGGGAAGATGACCAGTATAAGTATGTGAGAGTTTCCAGAGAACTGAAACTAGCTCATGTCTTGATGGAAAGGATGTACATGTAGATCACCCACGAGCAACCCGGTGAAGGGCCCACGAAAGATGCTGAACTATGAAGACCTGAGCTTCATTCTATGTTATCTATCATAGATAACACATGCCTGCAAACTGCCATTGGCTCCGCATCACCATGTCTTTTAATAAAATTAAGCCATGACAACAAGCAGTGTTGCCAAGTCCCTCGAGAAGGGAGGCGGGGAAACCCTACCAACTCCATAGAGAGGTTCTCCCGTGCAATGGGCTCACCCGAAATGCCTCCCGATTCGCTTTTCTCAACCACCTTGGCCGTACTCATCGCTATCTATCTTTGCACCAGCGGTGAAGCTCTCTTCTGAAATGGTTTCGTTTTCAGCTGTCATTATTGTACTGCTATCAGTATTGCCACATCCGCTCCACTGGTTCCCTCTCGACTCCAGTGGCGCGTCCACATCTTCGCATGAACCCGGCATCCCCACCTCTTCCTGGAAGACGTTGCGTAACCAGAATCGTTGATTGCTGTCAGAGGCAATAGTGCCAGCCACCAGGCAAAAGTCATGCAGAAGAACGTCATATTCCGCGTAGCGCCGCTCAAACCAAGCATTTGCTCCTCCTCCAAGTTGGTTGTCGTATACGCTCTCGCTCTTGACACTCTGAAAGGTTGACAGCACGGCCTCATTGGCAGCATATACATCCTCCCAACTGTCGCCGGGGTAAATCCAGTGATCGGCGTCCTTTCCAAACAAGACAAACTCTTCCGTGGACATGTACGGGGCGCCACAGATTTCAAAACCAACACTCCCCTCCGAAGAATGAAGGATTTCTGCCTTGCAAAGGTTGGCAAAGTCACAATAGTAGTTGGGACATTCGGCTACATCCCATCCTCCACAATAGAAGGAATAATATGCCCACAAGATCCGAGGTTTTCGCTGCTGCAAGTTGGCGGTAGCATTGGCGACATTATCGACAATTTCCTGAATGCGACAAGTAACTTGGTCAAATATCTCATTCGCCAGTTGTTCTCTGTTGAACAAAGCCCCGTACACCTTGATCCATTCCACTGTACCAATAAAGGATCGTTCCGCGTATTCTTCCACGACAACGTTTGGTGCCAGACCAGCAGTTGGCCAGCCATAGACCAGACCAACAAGATCGTTGTCAACGCCTGTCAAGGCAGCAGCACTGTCTGCGACACTGACTTGACCGAGCTCGATTAGCTCGAGTAAACAAGGCGAGGATATGAAACTGGGATTTCCTACGTATCCCTTGATTGTTCTTCGCAAACCGAGCAATTCCATGTAGGAAATGAGTGGGGTGGAGGCAATGGCGACCGACTGAATGGGGATCGATAGCACTGCGGCATGACGGCCGTCCAGGTGTTCTTCAGGAGGGTCGCTGCCGCATTGGTACAGCAGGTAAGTCAGATCCGAAGCTTTGTTGGTAAGAATCTTGTAGGTGCCGTGATAGGCTACTTCCCAGAACTTTGAATACATGGGTTGAACCTTATCCACAAAGAGTCCATCCGAGGCAATGTCGAAATCTCCTCCGATGCATTCCAGCTGGTTTCCAAGAGCAGTTTGAAGAAAACAGACACAAACTGCAGCCACCACGAACAAGCCCTCCTTAATCATGCTACCGTAGCAGCTTGCAGCTAGAGTAAAGTGATGATTGGCAGCGAAGCAGAGGGCCTTGCAAGCACAACATACACGTACTCATTCCGATATTTTTGCTTTCGAGCGAAATTTCGCTTGAGCACTTTGGGTCCCGTTTACTGTTACGCGGGGAACACGAAGTCCTTTTTACAGCATACATACATGCTGTATCTTGCGGTCACGTGGCGTGGGACTGAAACTCTGTCTTGGAATGCTCCTGGATGGTCTAGTGGGATCTGGTGCATTCTAAACAAGCTCTGTGCTGGCTGCTGGCCTGCACTAGCTAGCTAGCTAGCTAGCTAGCTCGTAGCGGTAGCTGGATAGTTGGTGTGGTCTGTGGGGGGGGGGGGGGTGAAGATAGATGTTTTCATTTGGTGCTTTGAGCTAGACTAATAGGAGGGTTCCTGCTGTGTCAATTGACGGGGCTGACCATCAGGCTTCGAAACCTGCTTTAGTGTGGTGGTATCTGGTGCCTGCTTTGCTAATCGAAAGCTTGTCTGTCTGTTTGCATGTTGTGCCGGTGTTGCAGCCAAGGGCTACTGTAGTGTCGCGAGCTTTGCACCGGTATTTACTTCGCCACATTGAATGCATGTCTGTCGCTTGCAGGGACGTGTGCCTTTATCCTTCACGTCTGTCGCTCGTGCTTGTAGCCAGCTCGAGTGCAGAATCTCTGCTTCTTCCTTTGCCAAGAAAGAATCAAAGCCAAACACAACATATAAGTCATGCTTCTCTTGGTATTCATTCTATAGACGTAGTGCTGTGGTATCTTTTGGGTGGGGATGCCTCTACATCTGTCTTAGTAGCCGGCTTTTCTAGTCGGGATCAGGCATTGTTGTGGAACACCAGGCAGGGAGCACGCAAGGGCTGTTTGTCGAGACCCTAGTACCGGGTGCCCTTGAACGTGCTTATAGACTTGATGATTGCGAATACCGAAGCTAGCAACGCGAACTATGAGGCTCCTCCAAACTTATACATGTAGTATCTCATCGCGGGCGGGCGGCTCAGTGGCAGCGCTGGGTTTGGGTATTCGCTCACCCTCCGCCAAGCTGTACCGATAGCTGGGTTTGGGTCCTTCGCTCACCTTCCGCCAAGCTGTATGTAGATGGGACTTCCTTCCCCAACAAAGAGCCACATGAAGTTCAGATGCAACACACACGAGCCCCGGATCGCGGAAACCTCAACATCGACCTCCAAATTTTCTCTAAGACTGTCAACGGGACCCATGCAAGGCCCCTTTCGAGTCGCTGGCACCATTCGCGGCTTCGTCTGGTCGTCGAGTGGCCGGTTACTAAAACCCCAACCCTTGCCTGGTGGGAAAGCAGTCCCACTTGATCCATCAGCCAATCAAAATGTTCCAAGAAGACGTTGGCTTCGGTCCCGACGAGTCGCGAGCAAAGACGCACGATTCGGCCCCTTCCGAAAGAGCTGACTGTTGATGTTGCAAGTCTGATTGATCTTTTGCGATCTGTTCTCGTCATAAACCACAAACAAGCGACTGGAACATCGCATCGATAGACTAGACCGCTACTAGACCGCCACAACACCTTCACAAATCACAAGCACTGGGCCAAACCAGCGTACAATAGATAGAAAATGCCGAGCCCTAATGCCAACCATCTCTTCCGTTCCCAAAGAATCCAACAACAATGCGGTTCGCCGCCGCTGCTTCTTCCAGCAAGACAAGGCAACAACTTCAGCAACAATGAAAACAAACAAAACATCCAGCGCACAGAGGAGGCCCGTGGGGAAGTCCGTGAGCCATACCAACCCGAAACGAGCTCAAAAGACGCTTGGGCCGTCAAGATCGAAGTGAATCTCATTCGTAGCTTACCAATCTACTACATTTTGGAACCCACCTCGATTGCTGTGCGAGAGATCCCCTTCACCATTGTACAAAGCCGAATCCTGGATTTTCTGAGGATCCAGTCCATCTCATTTACATATCATGCCGACACGGTCCGCCTGGAATGCGTGACATCCAACTTGCTCAAATTCGTCATTCAGTTCTGGCGCGTCAACGGCGAGGGTGTTCCTGCCTTGGAGCCCGACCAAGCCGTCACCGTGGAGCTCCAGCGCCGTCAAGGATCCTCCATTGAAATGCAAGCTGTCCGCCGCAAGATGCATCGTGCTGTTTTGACCGGAGAACAAGCAACAACCCCATTCTACTTGGAACGGCCCCAAATGCAAGCCCGCAATCTCCCTGCTACCATCATGACCGAGGTAGACACCTTGAGCGACTATGATCACGACGCGGGACGATCCGATGCTCTTCATATATGCTTACGTTTGATCGAAAGCAACTGCATGGATCAAGCTCGTTTGGGCCTGGAAAGCCTCCGCATGTTGACAGACCCCTCCATTGTTGCTCCGCAAGATGCTCTCTTTGTCTCCCGCGCCGTTCTCCTGCGTCAATCTGCCTTTGGTCCACGTCTCCAGAGCGGCCTTGCCAGATACTCTTTTGGTATCGCCGAGGCGCTGGCTGGGCGTTCCGATATGGCGGAGTACCGTCAATACAGCCAGGCCCACTATGATGGTTTCCACAGTTTGGGCCTTGCGATCCTTTCCAACGCTCTCCAGATGGTTGAAAGCAACGAAAACGTGGCCATCGACGTGACCGATCGATTTTGGGAACTTGTTACCGAGGACCTCATGTGGAACGTCGAAAGGGCTGTGCAAAAGCCGAACGAAGGTGCTGTTTCCGCCAAGTGCATTCGTCATCTCAAGTGTCTGGGTTGCGGCCATGGCAACGGCATGGATTTGGCTGTGGCGATGACCCGACCCCGCGGCTTCCGGGCATGCCTTGCAGAGGCCAACCGATTTGGAGCCATGCATCATTGGATGCTCGAACAAGAGTCGCAGAAGTTGTTGGCCATGGACATTGATACCAACCTACGAGCACATTGAGCATAACTAACTAATACGAAGGGACAGCAGAGCCCTCACCCTCATTTCAGATCACGCAAAGGCCGCAAGTTGACTCAGTGGCCCTACCGGTAGTGTGGTAGACGCTTGCTAATTAGGAAACAATTTACATATATGCTTAGGCTGCTTACAAACATTGTGATGTCTCTATAGTGAGTGCCCGATTGGAGGCGTTGCTTTCCCGCCTCCTGCATTCGTTCGTCGCCAGGGCTGTGTTCGGTGGGTTGTGGTTGCTTCTGTGGAGAGCAAGATGTGGTGAGCAGCATCAGGAACTCCAAGTCCCTGATCAACCGCGATGGGCCAACCCGAACAAGCCAAGTGGGAATCGAATCATGTAGAAGTCAACAATGGTTCGCTGTGCTTGTTTCACGAGACCATTTGTTGGCTTGTCTCTTCTATTTTGATCCGCTTCGCCTCCGGAGCAACTGAATCTGGTGCGGAAGCTAAAGAGGGAATAGGAAACAAATCGATGAGAACGTGCGGGGTCACACGTTTGATCCACGAAACTATGGCACTTACTCTGTCGCTTCGCGGATTTCCTGACTGTCGATTTTGGTTCGTTCCTGGCGCCTGGTGCTCCTGGTGACCGGAAGGGCGTGAAAGAGTTTTCGCCAGGTGTAAATCCAAGTTGCTGGCTCCAAAAGGATGGTTCACTGGAAGCGGCGGTTGAAGGTGTCATGATGCTTCCCATGATTTTGCTGGTTGATCCGAACGGTGTTGGCACGCCAATATCTTCCGTGATATTATGAGGTGTATCTGCTGTGGACATGATGGGATCATCTGAAAGGGTGGAGAGTTCTTTCTTAACCGGGGCAGGTGTCTTCGCTGTGGTGGACTTGGTGCAACTCGGTGGTGGCATCATTTCCTTGTCCGCGTCTTTTGAATCTGCTGCGGCGTCGGCGCCGTCGCTTCCGATTGGTTTGGTAGCGCTGAGTGTCACTTCTGCCAGCGACTTGAAGCAGCTTGTCAGCTCCGTATCTCCCTCTGAGAAGAAGCTGGAGTTGGCTGCACTTTGTGAAATAGGAGAAATGGCAACACGATTGATGCGCATGTCGCCCATGGATGCTTTCATGATGGCTGAATCATTGCCAATTCGGAAATGAATCTTTTCTCGGCTGGAGCGGAAGTTGGGTGTCTTGAGGAAAGAACTATCTTGCTGATAGTCAGCATCGTCCGCGAATAGCATCTTGTTCAGATTGTCGTCGTCCCCAGGAGAAAGGTCGTCTAACATCTGCTTGTGGAAAGGAGTAGCAAATGTATCCTGCAAACTGGACATTGGCGTCATTCCCTGTACATTCATGTCGGCGGGGGGACTCATCATGTTGAGACCGAGGCTTCCGCCGATGGACTTGGGTGAGTCGAAGACTGATTTGCGTGTACTCGACATGCATCCACTGGTGAAATCAATGTTTTGAAGAGTCTTTGATTTGCCAGCAGGAGTCAGATTCATCGCACTAGGAGGGCCATTGAAAGGTGACATGCTGCTTGTCGGCTTTTCTGGAGGTGGATAAGGAGCATGTGCACCAGGATGCTGCCATGGTGAAAACCCAAAGTGAGGGTGCTTGCCGTACATTTGATCCTGCATTGCATTCTTGTCCTTGGCAGTTGCACCTAGAAAAGCCATGTTCATGGGAGGTCCTCTAAAGTTCCCATGAGGAGCCATGGCATAGGGCGGGTATGGCATTGGGAACATGGCCTGTCGCATGGGTCCCATCATTTCCTCGGGCTTTTTCTTTTTCTTCTTGTTGCAGTTGCGATCCTTACCGCGGCCTCTCCCAGTTCCATCCTTGCCTCGGACGGCTGCTAACACTCCTTCGAGGTCTCCCATGAAATCAAATCTCCCGTCCTCAGTGTAGCGAATGTTGGCCTGGTCGACACCCTGCTTCTTGGCGAGGTATTTCTCAATCTTTCTCCGCATGGAGGAATTCCAATGGTTCTTGATGGCATTGTCCGTTCTGAGGAGGAAGCAAATGAGTTTAGCTTGTGGACAACTCTTGGCTGCAAACTCAGAACCCAAGCGTAGAGACTTACCTTCCTGGTAGCATCTTGGCGATTTCGGCCCAGCGATTGCCCAGAGTAATGTGCGCTTCAAGAATCTTGCGATCCTCTTCTACCTTCCAAGCTTCTTTAGAGATATCCGGATTCAAGTGGTTGTGCCATCGCTCGCGACATTGTTTTCCGATTCGGCCCGGCAAATTGGACGCAATGAGGGACCACTTCTTGGCTCCATACTTTTTGACTAGCTCCACTACCTTTCGGTCCTCATCTTCTGTCCATGGTCCTTTCACCAGAGTTGGCTTGAGTACCTTTTGCCATCGATGAAGACACTGCACTTCGGACCGTTGTGGCAATCGTTGAGAGATCAGTTTCCAGTTCTTGGCTCCGTGTTCTTCGACTGCGGTCCGAAGTGCCTCGTCTTCCGACTTGGTCCACTTGATTCCTGTCTTTTTGCCACTGGAACCGTTGCCAGCGTTGTTACTGCTACTTCCGTTGTTTTCGTCGTTGTGAGAACCAGACACTGGCGTGGACTTTTTGTTGCTGGACGATCCACCACCCATGGATAGTTTCGATTTTGGTTTGTTGAACTTATTGTTGCTATTGACACCCTGTTGTGCTGCTTGGAGCTGCACGGGTGGGTATGGAGGCGGCGCATGAGGATGCATGGCATGGTGTGGCATATGATGCGGCATGGCCATTCCGTACGGAGGAGGAGGATAATGCATGTGTGGTGGAGGCTGCATTGTCATATGAGGACCTTTTCCCGATCGGCCGTGAGGTGGCATTGTCATCATGTGAGGCATCATGTGTCTTGGAGGATGAGGCGGCGGTGGAGGATGTCGATACGCTGAATTCTTGGAAGCGTCATATGGCGGAACTCCACCGGGTGGTGGAACACTTGAGGGAGGCGGTGGTGGCGGCGGCGTGGCGGTGGTGGAGCTGAAGGACGAGTAGCGGAGGAATGAACCTTGTTGGGAGGAGGATTTGAATTGGACATGGTTGTTGTGTACTGTACTGTATGGATTGATTGGGATAATGAGCCAAGGAAATCAATGTCCACTGGCAATTCGACTGTGTTCAGGAAACTCGAATGGCTAGCTAGACTATCGGCAACAGTATTCCATAGACCGGCGGCGGCGACGACAACAGCAACTAACTAACTACGACTTGAACACTTTCAAGAGACAGCAAGAGCCATCAACAACCACTAAGCACTTCGCGATCGAGAGGGTGTCTCGAGTTAACAACCGGTCCTTGAAAAGAGTGAGCGCAGTGTGAGCTTTTTCAAATGAATTTGGCCGTGATGAAACGTTAGAATTACTTTATGAAATTTTATTAGGCCATGAAGATAACATAAATTTTGAAATCTACTCGTAAGGCTAAGGTTTAGTTGAAGTGAAATCGAACTTTATCGTGGATTTGCATCGTGGAGGAAACCGTGGGAGATAGAAATGATCCAAGACAATCAATAATTGCGCCGTGGATAGACTAACTAACAAGGTCATCGAACAGCACAAGTAGAGTAGTTAATGCGGCACCACTAGCACGATCATTGATACGTTGTTGGAGCAAAGCAGAAGATGGCATTGGAAGACTTATTGGAGATGGCCGAAGCAGGGGATCCCCTTGCCATGTATGATGTTGGAGCACTCTATGAAAGTGGTGCAGACGGTTTTGAGAAAGATGAGAAGCTAGCCTTCCATTGGTACAAGAGAGCTCATGAGGCTGGGAATGTCAAAGGCACAGCATTGATCGGGTGCTACTATCTTCTTGGCTGGGGTGTAACCGAGTGCTACACAAAGGGCATTGCCTACATCTCTCTTGCGGCGGGCAAAGGATCCGACTTGGCATCATTTGAATTGGGATTGGCCCTGGCAGCCGGTGCATTTGGTATGAGTGTGGATAAAGCAGAGGCCATGTATTGGTTGGAGAAGGCCCTTGGGGCCTGTCCTCATGTCTCCTTGAGCGATAAAGGAAAGGGTGAAGCTCAGCAAAAGCTGAAGGAGCTGCGAGCCCAGAGTCCACAGCAGCAAGCTTGGAAACTCGGGATGGACAAGGGAGAGTTGAAGCAGTGCGAACCTGAAGAAGACGAGCAGAGTGAAGTCCAAGAGGAACGAGAAGATGATGATGCTGTTTACACGGTGACGGAGGACAAGGGCACATCAAAACGACGACATGAGCCAGTGATTGTCGAGACTATTGACGAAAAGGAAGAGGAATGAACAAGCAGGCATGGTGCCTTTAAGGGACCGAAGCAATCTGTCTAGTTGATCTTGTATTGGGATAGATAGCTGCGAGGGCGTTCAAGGGTGTTGCTAGTCCTACATACTGCAATGAAAATTACGTACATGGTAACATTCTAGCTAGCAGCATATTAGACAGTCAGTCAATCAGGACAGGTTGTTTCGCTTCTTGGTGCGTACCGTACTCATCCAAAGAGCACGGCGCAAGAAAGCGTGTTCCATCATGTCGCTGTGTTTGGCTTGGTCAACCCCAGCCACACAGTACGGTACCGTAACATTATATTACAAGGCAATCCAGTAGATGATCAAAATGCCCAAGACGGCCAATCCCACAAAGACGGAAAAGAGGTACGACGTGCAGTTTTCCTCCCTGCGAGACTTGGCAATGGAGGGACCTAAAATGGCAGCTTGGTCCAGTACGACACTGGAGCATACGCTGGCTCGTCGGGGTACGAGACGCACAGGATGATGGTCTTCTTGTCGAAGCGTCGTGGTAGTCGTAATGGTGCTCATGGAGGCACATTCGATATCTGTATCCATGGTAGCAGCAGATGCATGTAGTAGGTTGTTGTGTTGTTCCTTGGCAAGACTGCCGTTCATGGTGACAACCGTATGATGTGGGTTGGGTAGACTACTAGTGCTGTTGAGATCCAATGGAAGGGGGTATGTATGAAAGAACCGGAATAATTTTTCTTCCAATGTCAAGGGGGGCAATGTGGTGGGTGTAGCGGGAGGTGTGGCGGGGGCTGCTGGCACTGCCAGAACAGCGTTGTCTCCATCATCGAGAGTAACCTCTTCGATATCTCCCTGGTAGCCATTGTCCAGGGACGAACGGACGTCCCCATTTTCACTGGGGTCGACCATTTTCAATGCGCCTGGTTCCTCACTGACGGGACTGCTGCTGGTTGATGGTGTTGGTGGTGGCGATAGTCCTGTCATGGTCATCAGTCGTGAAATGGAAAAGAATGGAAGCGAGTGCCCAGTGGTGGTGGGGTCCACTATGGACGAATCGTCGCCATCTTGCTGCTGAAGAATGGCTCGGGCTGTTGTGGCTGTTGGAAGAGTTGGCACTTCGCCGAGGCAGTTGCCGTCGTTGCTACTACATGTACTAGAGTCGTCGTCAAGGGAGATGATGCTATTGGGGGGCAGCGTGGGAGGACATTCGACGAAACCAGGAGAAGTTTGGGAGGCCGAGGAAGGAACAGCAGAAGAGGAAACAGAAGAGGAGGAGGCAAAGCGGTCAACTCGCAACATGGTCATCGTCTTGGCTCCGGTCTGTTGAAAAATGTGCGTGTGACAGGGCGAAAATCTGACAAAGACAACCGAAAGCTCTCACAAAATTGGGGGTGTGTTTCATGGGACTAACATACTGTACGATGCGGCTCTGAAAGAAACGGCCAAGGTTCCGAGTTTCGTCAGTCTTGCGTCCGTAAAGATCCTGCTTGCACAGCCACCAAAAAATGAGCATCAAGAAGGCAAGAAGGAACGAGCATCCACTGCAGCGACCGCATCCCTCTCAGTTGTAATTCTCTTTTGCATACGTGAATGTATCTACTGGCTAGAACAAGATAAAGGAGGCTAAGAAGCAGACAAGCACAAGATGAAACCCCAGGACCAGCAAGGCGGCGGCTCTCGTGCTGCCAAAAAGAGGGCCAAGAAAAAGAAAAAGAACAAGCAACCGCAACCGTCGAACGAGGAAGATCGGAAGGAATTGGTGGAAACTACTAAATCCAAATCCGAGAGCAAGAAGCGTCCCTTGGAAGAAAAAGACGTTGCTGGACACAGTGCCAAAAACAAGAGCAGCAAGAAAGATAATGCCGAAAAGAAAAAGGCCAATGGAGGAGGAGGTATTCTCAAGAAACCCAAGTATTCCTCGGAGGGAGCGTCGACCAAAAACTCCAATACTGCTGAGGAGGATCAACTTGAGGATACAGAGGAAAATAATATGCAGGAAGAAGAGCTGCAAAATCTGGATGCACAGGATTTAGATGTGCTTCTGCCACAAGAAATTCAGGAACTGATCACGTCAGATAAGTTCAGTCTCCAAGATCTCCTACTGCTACCATCCGACAAAAAGAAGAAACAATCTACCACTAGCAAATCAGCCCAAAAATCCAACAAGGACGTGGAAAAAATGGTGGATGAAGATAACAGTGTTCAAAATCCCTTTCAAGAACTCACTTCCAAGCAACGAGCTAGATGTGCATTGAATATCCTCCTGGCTCCTTCCAATATATGCGCCGAAGAGTTCTACGAGGAATATTGGGAAAAGAAGGCACTTTGTGTACAAGTGCAGAAGGACAAAAACAAAAAGCACCACAAACATCGATTTGATGGGTTTCTCTCCTTGAAATCCATCCGTCAATGGACTGAAAGGCATACCTTACACTATGGGCGAGACTTGAATGTGACACGGTACCACACCCTCACTCCGGGACAGCCCAAACGACGCGCCAACATTGATCCTCCTCCATATCAAGACAACAAAACCGGTGAAACCAAATATGTGCAAGCCGACTCGAGCTTTGTCTGGGAACAATACGATGAAAAAAAGGCCACGGTTCGACTCTTATGTCCCCACAAACACAATGATACTATTCATTCCTTGCTCAGTTTGTTCGAATTGGAATGGGGTTGCATGGTAGGAGCCAATGCCTACTTGACACCGCCCGGTGGATCGCAAGGATTTGCCCCGCATTATGATGACATTGAAGCCTTTTGTCTTCAGTTGGAAGGACGCAAACGATGGAAAGTGTACGCACCCCCCAAAGAAGCACGACTTCCTCGTGTCAGCTCGGAAGATTTCACGGATGAGGACATGATGGAACAGGAACCCGTCTTGGATGTAGTCCTGGAACCGGGGGATTTCTTGTACATGCCCCGTGGATGGGTTCATCAAGGCATCACCTTGCCTGGAAATGAACACTCTTTGCACTTGACCATGAGTGCCATGCAACAATGGGCGTGGGTGGATTATCTAGAATTGCTAATGCCAGAAGCTCTCGAGGCAGCTGCCAACAGCGAGACATCCATCAGTCTTCGCAAGGGATTGCCGCGCAATTTTCTGGACTATATGGGAGCCATGTACGATCAGCGAGACGATGATTTGTTGCCAGATAAACTTAAGGAAGGAGGAAAGAACAAAGAGGGAGAAAAAGAGGGCAATGACAACGACAACGACGAGGGCGATGGCGATGGCGCAAAAGAGGATTATGAGGAAGCACAAAGGCAACGTCTCGCACTCATGCAGGAAAACTTTAGAGAGGAAGCCAAGAAGCGCATTATGCGCGTTGCCAAAGAGGTAAGGTTTGATGTGAGGTGCTGCGGTTGACAATGTGGTCCTTGCGGTCAGTTGTCTAATGGCTGGCTTTGCCTTCAACACGGGCAACCATCCCAACAGGCGATGGATATGGTGGATGCCGCTTGCGATCAGATTGGCAAACGATTCTTGTCGGATCGCCTTCCTCCAGGCTTGACAGCAGAAGAGCTCGCTGGCACAACCGAGGGCCAAAAGGATGCCAAGATCTGGCCCACAACGTTGTGTCGCTTGTCACGCCCAGGCATTGCACGGTTGGTATTGGAAGATGGAAAGGCCGTTCTCTATCATTGTGCCGACAACTCGCGTGTATTCCACGAACGCGCATTGGAGCCGATGGAATTTGAAGGTAAACAAGGAAAATTGTGGAACAGTAGTGCGTTTGTATGATGGCAGCATGCCACTCACACATCGCTTTTTCATGGAACTTGCAGTGGATGATGCACCAGGTATGTGTGTTGAGACAATCATACATTCTATCGGCAGCATCTAGCTCTCACAATCGCTCCTTCTTACATCCTCCAGCACTAGAACAGCTAATCACAACTGTAGAGCCAGAGTGGATTCCCGTGTCTGACTTGATCCATGAGGGAATGGGGGACAAGATTGCAATCGCTCAGGCACTGTACGATGAAGGCATACTGGCAATCGTCAACCCCGAAGGAGGCCTAGCCTGATGCAACAAGTTCTTTGAGCATTGAACACCAGAGCAGGTCCTACTGCTTCAATAGGCAACTACCGGATGCCCCCGCCTGGTTCATGACGATCCGCATCGACATCAATAAAACTGAATAGCATGCAGTAATCTTTGTAACTACTGGTACTACTGTATGACATCCATGAAACAAATGAAAGTTGCACTGGGGAGTAGGCCCTGTTAGTGACGGTGCGAACAGTATCCTCAGAGACCTGGAGGAGGAATATGAGCGTGGCGGGTAGCCATAAAATCAAATCGCTGCTCTTGCCGGGTATGTATGCGTTCCAACACTCAGATAATCATCGATTGCGGGAGACGCCGCAGAGGGGAACTCGTGCTTTTGCAGCTCCTCGAATGCCTTTCTTGCTTTCTTGCTTGATACACTTCCTTTTAGTGCAGAGTCCTTGGCGGCCAGGTTTTGATGGACGTTATGAAGGGGGAAACTTGGCAGGCAATGCCTTCGGTCGTGAATACAACTGGCAAGAGAGCCGTGTTGCAATATTTCGCCTACGAGAGGAGCGGGATCTTCATTCCGTGTCAAACATATTGTAGTGTTCTAGCAGTTCTGTGGAAATCATGGAAAACAGTTGATCTTGCACCAGTGCCATCTTCAAAACGGCCTGATGTCTCTTGAAGAGTTTTCACCCGACGAGCCGATTTGCAAAAACAATGGTGCTCTTCCCAGTACTTTTTGAGCACCTTGCATTCAACCTGTATCCGTGTGAACGACTATTCTTATTAAGTAGTTTGTTTAAAGATGTAAACATTCCTCGACAAATTGCTTCTTTCTTGCCACCGATCAATCAGAGCTAACGGTATGATCTATGCGGTAGTTTTGCGAGTTCATTACAAGCCAAAGGTGTCCTTCACGTCGGTTGACACATCCCACTGATTGACAACTGCATCCATACCCACCGAGACAAACTTGTACTCGCCCTTCTTTTCGGTAAAAGTCAATGCCGTCAATCCACCACGATGAGCGTATGGGTAGTGTTTGCGCTTCATTTTCTTATCGAGCGACCACAGATAAATGGAATCATCAGCGCCTCCACTCGCCAAGATCTTGTCATCGGGCGACCAACACAACGTCGTGATGCGCTGCATATGGAAGCACCATCGTCCCTTGGCAATGATGGGTTTGTATCCATCTTTGACATCGTAGACACAAACATCCTTGGTATCACTGGCTGCCAATTTGGATCCGTCGTTGGAGAGTGCCAAGGCATGGACTGGTTGCCGATGTCCGTCGGCAATGACCTGTTTCTCCTTCAATGCGTTTCCATCACACGTGTAGACATAAATCTTGTTGTCGTTGCCACCTACATAGACTGTCTTGTCATCCTTGCTGACACACACGGACTGTCCTTCATAACTGGTCGCCAGCAAATCACCCGCCACGGCTCCTGCTCCAGCCTTGACCAACTGAAGTCCCTTGACAGTGACAATAACGGCAATTTTGGCTCCGCCTCCAATACAGGTGGGTTGTGCCTTGAGTTGACAGGGACTGGCGCCCACCTTTCCGGCCTTGTCCGTGACGAACATTTTATCATCCCATCCCACACTGAGCAAACTACCATCCGCCATGGTGGCCACACCACTAATGGCACCTCCATGAATGACATAGAGCAAATCGGCATTGGCATTGGCGCTGGGTTCCAATCTCTTTTTCGGCTGTGCCGTGTTCCAGTCCCATTGACAGAGCAATCCATCGGAATCACCGGTGTAAAAGACACCATTCTTGAAATCGACGGCCATGTCATTAATGGAGGCACTGTGTCCAGTCCAAATGGTGATTTTATCTCCGTCCATGACGGACAATTGTCCATTAAAGGATACCGATACGGGGACATTGCCATTGACAAAGGCACAACCGAGCTGTTGTCCTCCCACGGGCAATTTGTCGTAGGCTTTGCCGCCGCGTTGTGCCAGGGGTGGATCCCACGTTTTAGTAATGGCCAATTTGGATCCATCGTCACTGACCGAGAGCAGTTTGACTTTTCCATCACTGCTGCACGTGACAATGGATTTGTCATCGGCACTCCATTCGAGGGCAAAAATGGTCAAATTGTGTACACTTTCCAATTTGCCCTTGAGTTCGAGTGTTTTTCCATCATAGACGGCGACCATTTTATCTCCTCCGGTACTGGCCACCAATGTCCCGGCATGATTGTATCGGACGGTATTGACGGATCCCTTTTGCGCATGGGCCGTTTCACTGGGAACTCCATTCGCCACAGTAACCTTTTGAAAGGGTGGTCCTGCATTAAAGGACACTTTGTAGTCTTCCTTGCCACTGGTAACAATTCGCATGGGACGTTGTGGTTTGAAGGAAATTCCCGAGACGCGTCCTTTGACGTGTTGTCCCAATTGTCCGACACTGACTCCCGTGTCCCATTGAATGACACGAGCGGCATCGGATTGGGCATCACTGCGTTCTCCTGCCACGGCAAGACGTTTGGATTCTCCATCCCAACTAATATCGAGAATGGGTCCACTGAGGGCGGGTCCATCGAATTTGCAGAGATGTTCTTCGTGATCCAACGCCCATACGCGCAATTTGCCACGTTCATCGCCACTCGCTAGATAGGAGCCACTGGGTGAAATTTGCGCCGCCGTGGCCGTGACGGTATTGTGGCCTCGATACGTCAAGACGGGCAATTTGGATTCGGTGGATGGCAAGAGGGGTTCATCGACCTTGAGATTGCGGACGACGACCAGTTTGCCCGATGTGTACGTCAACACGGGTTTGCCGGATTGACCACGGCCACTCCGACCAGCCAAACCACAGCGTTGGGCTCGTTCGGTCGTTGGCACGGGAGGTGTCGAAGCAATCACGGGGTAGTTGGCAGGCAATGCCACATTGGAAGCGTCCGGCATGGTAGACTACTGGATGGATTAATTCAATCGATGGTTATCTAGCTATAGTGGATGCTACACAACCAAATGGTTCCTTCCTTTTGAAAAATGTGTGCAGGATGAAAGACAAGATCTTTCTTGTTGAGGGATGGGTGAAGTGAAGGCATTCGCAACGGTCACAACAACCTCTATCGCGCTTCTCCGTGGTTGGGTTGGATCTTTTCTCGGCGTGTCGAAAAAAGATCGCGGGTATCCTGGACTCAACTTGGCCGAAAGTCCGTGACTGAGCCATCACAACTTCAGCTCCAAAACACAAGCTCCTTGAAGTACAGCGTACTAGCTAGCTAGTAGTACAATAGTCCGATGACACGAGGGAGTGCGATGAGGATGAGACAAGTACTTGCAATGAAGAGACAGTGGGATTGCTTACCTCTGATGCTTCTGCTGCTGCTGTTGTCGTCGTCTTTGGTCGAGAGCTTCACTACGAGAACATGCCGCGCAGCCACTGCTCCACAACCGCCATCAAACCATGTGCTCTTTTCTTCTTCCTTTTCTCCCCCGGATGATCTCGCCTTGATGGACTTTTCCTCTCGCTACTTTTGGGAAGCATTCTACAAGGAACAACTCAAAACAATGTCAGAAGAAGAAAAAGAAAAAGAATCTACACAATTGGAATATTACCAGTCTCTGACGGTCCCGGAACTGAAAACACTCGTCCAAGACCAGTCTAGCAAAGTCTTATCCAAACTGACGCAAAAACAAGATCTTATTGATTATCTTCTGATACAACAGCAACCCGCAAAAGACAAACCCTTTGTGTTTGAATGGCACGATTCCATTCCACTCGACGAATTGGCACTCCTGATACCGTCCAACTCCCGTTGCTTAATGGTCGGATGTGGAAATTCCAATCTACCCAGAATTGTACTGGATCGAAACGACAATATTCACGTGACACTCTTGGACAATTCACCCATATGTATTGAACAATTGAAAGCGCAATATCGACAATCAGATCATGTAGCTTGTGTGTGTGCCTCGGCGACTGACATGTCGTCCTCACAGTCTTTAGTGGACTCGTCGTTTGATAGCATTGTCGACAAGGGATTGACGGATGCGTTCATGTGCGGGGAAGGATGGGAAACCTCCGTCCAAGCCCTGTTGCGAGAATCCAGCCAGATTGTAAAGACGCCTGCCACCTACCTCTTGGTGAGCTACAAAATGACTCCAGCCGTCCAAACGATATTTCAAAACCTATCCGACCAAGTCAGTGGAGATGCCATGCAGCAGTGGGAATGGGACTTTGATATCCAGTCCTTGTCAAATCATCGTGTCAGCGTGTCCCTGGCAACCATTCGATCCACCACGCAGTAGTGACGAAAAGCAAGTCTGCGCATGCATTGATTGATGAGCCGGCTACCAGAAGTTGCTTCAGGCAAAGGTGGGAATTCGCTCAAGCGACTGGATTTAGTACTCGTATTGAATAATGCTGGACTATCTCGTTGGCTGAGGAAGGTTCTGTACAGTGCGAAACGAACAGTCCGCTCTAGCTAGAGAAGCCCATCCAGTTCATTGGAGGAAGCAGAAGACTACATAGTGTACGGTACGAGTAAACGAATTCCTTCCGGGTAATGCTCTAAGTTATGAATAACACGCTGCACCTCGCGGTAACGTGCAACCAGTTTCTCCTACTTTATTCTAATTGAGAGTTTGATCCTCCAAACACTCACCGTGCAATATCTAGCTAGCTAGCTTTCAGCATCGACTTGCTTGGCAGCATGGGCCGACACAAACCAGCGATGCGTGGCACAGAGACTTTCAATCTCTGCCAAAACGGGAAATTCCTCTTCCACGTTCACCTTGAACCGACGTGCATTGTAGAGTTGTGGTACCAAAAAGGCATCGACAATGGTGGGAGAAAAGTTGCCCAAACAATACGGTCCGCCATACTGCTCGCGGCGTTTTGCCACAAGTTGCTCCAAACCCTTGAGACCTTTGACAATGTGCTGGCGGGCAAACTCTTCCGCCGTAATCTTGCCCTCGGATTCTTTCTCCAACTTTTTCAACATGGGAGCATTCTGAAGGGGCTGAATGCCAGCATTGATCAATTCCACCATTTCGGTCGCGGCGACACGGTCATGAGCATTCCGGGGCATGAGAGACTTTTTGGTGGGAGCCACCTGGTCCAGAAACTCCAAAATGGCCACGGATTGTGACAGGTAGTGTGTCTGACCAGTCTCCGTATCGGTGTATTCCAAAACGGGCACTTGGCCCATGGGATTCTTTGCCAGGAATGATTCATCTCTTTGTTGGCCCGTTTTCAAGTCAATGGGAATCACCTCGTAGGCAAGTTCCTTAGTATTCAATGCAATGCGGACTCTCCAAGACGACGATGATCGCCAGTACGAGTACAGCTTGAGGTTTTGATAGCGTGACGTGACTGTTGTGGCTGCGCTGTGCCCATTGGTGAAGTCTGCGGGAAGCTTTGCTGGTAGCACTTTGCCGCTGCACTCTCCAAAACCGACACGACCATGACCTGACTTGCTGGACCATCCCCTCATGATGACCGTGTCACCATCTTGAAGGAATTTGCGTTTCTCTTCACCCACCGGTACTTCCTTGGTTCCTTTCCAGCTCAATTCCAACATGCTTCCAAAGGCGCGGTCGGTTTGGCCGCTGATGGTTCCACTTCCAAGCAGGTCTCCTGGATTCATAACACATCCAGTAACCGAATGATGGACCAATTGCTGGGCGGCGTTCCAATACAGGTTCAGAAAGTTGGAGGTGCATACAGTATGCGGCTCTGTCATGTTTCGCCCCTGAATTTGCACCTGCAGTTGAATGTCATAAGAGGAATAAGCTGGGTCTTGCAAGTACTCAAGTGGAGTGGGTTCCGCCTGCTCTGGACCGGCAGATGTTGTCCCAACAAAGGCCTGCAAGGCTTCTGCAGTGACAATCCAAGGTGACAAGGTTGTTCCAAGATTCTTCGCCGTAAAGGGACCTAGTGGTACATATTCCCACTTCTGAATGTCTCTTGCTGACCAATCATTCATCAAAAGGAACCCAAAAATTCGCTTCTTCGCTTGGTCCATGGTAAGGGGCTGACCCATAGCATTGGGAGGTCCACCAACAATGGAGGCCACTTCCAGCTCAAAATCAAACAGGCGAACAGGGCCCAAAGATGCTGCCCTCTTTCGGATCATCTCGATTTTTCTGCAGTTGTCCACATGGTCGACGAATTGGTGTCCCAGACACAACTACCGTGGATGCCCTGCCATGATAGCCCACAGGTAGGTGCAACCAATTGGGCTGTAGTGCGTTGTCTTTACCTCGAAACATGGTCTGTGAATAGGTGGGCATTAAATGAGCACAGTCAGGGCAAAACATACTGCAAAAAGACACCCAATAAAAGCCGAGAACAGAAGGCAGCAATGATAAAAACGCATTCAGATACTTACCCCGACATTTGTTGCATGCTCACGAGACGAGTAAAAGTCAGTATATTCTCCAATCTTCACGGGTAGATGCATCTGAACTTTGGATCCCTCGTACATGCACGCTTTTTGCAGCGATTGGTTGTCACGAAGGAATCCATCACCGCCATCTTCACGAAACAACTCGACGAGACGAGCTCGCACTTTGGGCCACACAACAGGAGACTGCTCCACAAATGCATTGAGAGTCGATTGCTGAAACGTGTCGGGTAGCAGCTCACGAATCGCGTCAAAGGCACCCGCATCTTCTAGTACGGCCAAGTTGATCACATGGTTGCCCACTGCGGTGGTGCAAAAGGGTGTAGAATGGGAATACCCAGCGAAAGACGCCACTCCAAAGGGAATATTCGCCAAGGAGAAGTCTGATTCATCGGGAATGTTGATCCAAGAAGAAGACATGATAAGAGCTCGAGCATAAGCTTGGAAATCTTTCAATGAGCAATTTGTGAGAAATGGATTCTACAGAAAATCTTCATGGCATCAATTCAATAGGGATGACATCGGTTCCGGTTCTCGAGATTCAGATCTTTCCTTGACACTTGACACCAAAAGCTCTCCTTTTCCTCACGCTCGGGATTGTGGACCTTTATCTCACCTGTATTTCTCGCTTGCTACTAGTAGCTTGCTGGAAGCCACGGTAGAATCAAATATCAAATGAAACTTGATGTCGATCGTGAGTTCGCAGAATTATGTTGGAGACAGAGCAATAGAGCAATGCTTCGTTTGGATTGAGATTGTTGATGTCACTCCCGGTACTGACGTCATAAGCGTGATTTGCTAGGTTGGTTCTTTGCAAAACCGGTACGGATAGGGGTACAGCACCGTTATGTCTGCTTCCGTCGTTGGGCATATCCAGCTTACGACGAACACACCTCTACCAAGGCGAAATACATGTCACGATGTCACGATCTCTTCATACAGCGTACCAGAACTCGATCTACAAAGAGAGAAACCCACTGCTGAGTGCTGAGTACATTCATTTTTCGTGCGGCTAGCTCCAGAAATATGACATAGATGGGCCTGGAAGCTGCCGACTGGACGATGCGCCATGTTGGGGAGGGAGCTCATGGGGATACCGGAAGCCCGACCACACCCTCCTTTGCCTTCTCCCACCACCAAGTTTTGTCTCATCTGGCTGCACCCTAGCTAGCCACCGGTAGCTGGTCGAGATGCATACTACATGTAAGTATAATTTGTGCATTAGTATCCATGGAAGTTGTTTTAATAATGCTCAGCTTTGTACGGTCCTTGTCTAAACGATTGCAGAAAACAAAAGGGTACAGCCCATCAATGAGTCGTTGCCAAGGAATTTGTTGACTTGCGGATCGTCCAGATCATCATCCAATTGTACGGACCTATTGGTATCCACATCGTAGAAGAAGCCTGATGAGCAAGATGTGGACCCAGAACTTTCTTCTCTTTCCAGGGGTAACAAAGTTGCTTCCGCAAAATCCGGAATGCCTTGTGCCATCAGGGGAGCAGGTGCAGCTGCCATTGCTCGATTGAAAAGTTCAAAGTTCATGGCTTGCTCACGTGCAGCACTTTGCTGCGGAGCAACTTGAGATGGGGTCTGCTGTTTCTGTTGTTGATTCATCATTATTTGCTGTGCTTGTCTTTCCCTGTTCTTTGCTTGAATGCAATCGCGAAACATAGCCCCGCACTTTTCTCGAGATGCCCTGTCTGACAACTCGTAGTACCTTCCTTTGTCAAACCTGACAAAGCCTCCAACAGGGCATGCTTCCTGGATAATCCTAACGACCCGGTCAACGATGCGTGTGCGGTCATGCGGGCTGTTCTCAGCGTCAATGTACTGCTGCAAGAACGAGCCAACAATGACGCGGAGACGTCTGTTCCCTGTTGCATTATAGTTTCCCCTGCCTCTTCCACAGATCACAGAGTAGCCTGCTGGAACAAAGTCTTCTGGTAGAAGTTGCATCCCCCTTTTCAAGGACCTTTTCTCAACTGAAGCGGATGCAGTGGCCTTTGAGTTGCCAGTGCTCGTGCTGAGGCGGTGGTAAGGCATGTTGTTGTCTTCTTTGGGGAGTTTCTGGTTCGGGTCCATTGTTTTAAAACAAATCAGTCTAATGAGAAGAAGATCTTTGCAGATTTTCTGGATGTGATTTCCAAAGTTTGTGAGGACAAGAAGATTTTTGGCCTCCCAACTCCCGACTAGACTACTAGTACAGTATTTCACTTATTACAGCTCGAGAGCACAGCCACCATGTCTCGTCGTAAACTTTTCTATCAGATTGCTTTAAAAAAATCGTCGTGTACACGTGTTATGCACGGGGGATGGAGAAACCCAATGCCATTCCATATTCCATGACAACCATGGTAAACCATAACCACAAAAAAGGTAAACATTGGCACCGTCAACCTCTGTCCTTTTGACAGTTTCAAACAGTGATAAACAATGCTTAGAAGTGGTAAACAGTTGTAAGACAGTGGTAAGCAGTGGTAACTAAGACCACTGTTTCGTGAAACAGTGGGCTGCAGGGGCTCCATGCCTGGAGGGCCTCCGGTGACCTCTATGACGTCACACTAAAATCCCAAAATCCCCTTTTTTGGCGAGTCGCGAGCAGTCGCGACTAGTCGTTTTGACAGAGTCGCGCGCTTCCACGCGAGTGCCAAAACGAATCCACGCGACTCCTCGCGACTCCTCGCGACTGCGTTTAGCGCAAGCACTAGTTTTGTAGCATTGCTGTGTCGCGACTGTACGCGACTCCACGCGACTCCACGCGACTGTTAACGCGACTGTGCGCGACTCCACGCGACTGAGCAGTCGCGTGCAGTCGCGCGACTGCCACGTGGAAGCATCTCAGTCGTGCTATTAGGGTTAGAATCGCCAAAAGCCCACGTCACCGGAGGCCCTCCTGAAAGCAGTGGTTTTCATGAAATGGCATTAATTTTCTCCACCCCCCAGTACGACTGTAGAGGCTCACACGAACCAGAAGAGCTCCAGATCTCCAGATTCCAGATGGCACCTCAACTTTGCCGTGGCCCTTAGCTGTTACGCTACCTTCCTTAGCTGGTAAATCTTCGAATTTATTTGTTTATGATTAAAACCATTATTAGCCTCCATAATGTCGACAGGTGACAGTAGTTCTGAGCTCGTGCAAACACGATCTTGCGAAAGTGGTCGTCTTGCTGTCGGGTTTCCTGACAACACACCTCGCGTTCGTTCCATACCGGTCTCCTGGCTGGTACCAGTATAAGCTACTTTCATAGCGGTGTGCAGACACAGACTTCATCATGGGGCCCTCAACAATCGAGACTTCTTCTTGATCCTTCAGTGCATACTGGTGCCAGTACGGTACCGTACCAGTATCTTCCTCGATCTGGCTCCTTTTTCGAGCTCTCCCTCCCATCCACCGTGATCGATACCCGCACCGTACGTTTCATGTACTAGTGCTGCTGGTAGCCAGCCATTACATGTACCGATACCACTAGCTAGAGTACCGGTACGGCCATCTCAAAATCCGGTAGGCATTCAGCACCAGTCGACCACAGCATTGTCGGAAGCAGCCCCGACTGAGGATTCGTGGCGCGAGTGGACCTGGATTTTTGGTCGCGGCAATCATTTGCGTTCGGATGCCCACTCGACAAAAAAGACTGGGGAAGATCTCCTTTCAGCTTTCCGCCTCGTCCGCAAACCATTGGATTGAATGATGAATCGAATCATGCTCCATCTTGGCGCAACATGCATGCCAAGACGATTGAAGATTTCTGCTTGTTGGAAGTGGATGTCTCTCGAAATCAACCAGCACGAGCATGGAGACCGTGCAGTATGATAGCTGTAGTGTAGTGTGGCTGCCAATTTTACCCATCGAGACAGTGGCCACATTGCTGGGCATGAGTTGCATGAATAGGAAGCGGACAGGGCATATCGAGCTGCCAACATTGCCCGAAGAGAGGCCCACAGCAGTGCCTAGAGAGAGAGGCTATGGGGCTTTACTGATCACCGGTCTACGATCTACTAGTGGCCTGGACGTGTTGTCGGCAGGATGAGAATGCGTCAGTTGGGATCATTCAGCGGATCCCTTCGGCGGTTGGTGCTACCGTACCAAAATTACGCAAGCAGGAAATGAACGAAAGCGTATGAAATAAATGATATGATGCTAGTTAGTTCCTGAATGACAAGCTGAAATTCACTCGTCCATAAGCTCGTCTTCGTTGAACGGATCAAAATAATCTTCGAAGTCGACATCAGCATCGTGGTCATCATCTTCCAAATCGTCGAAGCCTTCGGGTTTTTCGAGAGTACCCAAGAATTGGTGAACCCTATTCATCTCACTCACCACAGGAAGACGGGTGCAAATCACAAACGCTGCCTGACCTTGGATAGAGACCATGCTATTCAACAGCGCCTGGCCAAGAAGAACGTGGCGGCGTGTCTTGTTATATCCCTTGCCGGCAAAGTCCCTCAGCTGATTCAAACTATTCTCATCAGTGAACTGATTCATATCGATGACTTGCTGAGCGCTCTCGGAGTTCAAATGGATACGGAGATAGAGAAGCTTCGTTACATTGACACCGGCCAAATTGATATTTCTAATATCAAGGTCGCCAGTCTCATTCTGGTCACGTTCAACGCGCTTGATATGGAGCACAAGTGAATTCAGAGGGCCAGTCTCAGCAGACTTAGCGACCTTCCAGAGGTAACGTGGTATCCGTTAGCTCTCCTTCAGCGGCGGCAGCTACGGGGTCATCGTAGAGACCATTCAAACTGAGTGTTGTCATTATAATTTGCAGCCTCCGCACGGTGTCCCAATCGGCGAGGTCAACATCATTGCCAGGGGTGATGAAACGCTGACGGAACATGTCTTGATCTTGATCATCTTGATCACCACCAATCAACCGACGGAGAGTCGGCACCACCTCGTCCAATGACAGATGATCTCCCAAAACTTTAGCGTCAAGGTTTGCGAGGTATCCGAGGAATCGGCGGACCTGCCCCCGGATTCTTTCCCGCTCCGCCTCCATTGCGCCCTTTCTTTCCTTCTTGACTCGCTATGTACCCGCACAGCACAAACATGGCATGTGTAAGAGAGGAGTAAATGATGACGACAACACCGACACTACTCATGCATGCGCACCTTCCGTTCATTGCGATCTGCACAGCCTCTGTTGGCTCTGTTTCTTTCTTCGTCCCAGTCAATGGCTGTGCTTCCTTCTTCCTTCCATTCAACCACAGAGAAGCGGATACCACCTGTCATTCCAATAAAGAAGAAATCGCACTTCTAGTTTTGTTGTTGTGTTGGTCTCCTCGACTGCGCTGTTGTTGTTGTGGGAAAGGACAGCCAGATAGCCAGCCGGAGGCTAGTGCCCTCAACTTGCATTTTTCTAAAGGCCAAGGAAGGGTTCTGGTTTGATCCCTAGCCTTAATAATCTGGAAGTAATCGGAGTAGCACATTGTAACTTTTCCACCTGTCTGTGCCGGACGAGCAGATGTGCGTGGAAGGGCAAATAGCCAATCACAACGCCGAGGCCAAGATGCAAAGAAGCTGCAGCTGTCAATCGGTCCTGAGAACCGCACAACCAGCGTCGACAACTGGAGAAAGAAAGAAACATCACGAAAGACCATAATAATATCTACTATTGATGGTCACCACAACAATATACAGTAAACAAACCATGATGCCAATGCCTCGTCTTCTCCAATATCTGATACTAGCCGCCTGTCTGGTATCGCAATGCTCCTCTTGGACCTTTCCATCTCCGGGCAGTAGGTCATTGGCGAGATGTCACCATCCAAGATTCATTAGCCAAGTTCGAAGCGAAGGAATCTCGCCTATGGAGAATACCAATATCCACCATTGCGAACACCATGGGGGTCGTCGCACACGGAGACTCGTCGGTGTGGCAGCCGTCCTGGTCGCTGCCAGTTGGCTGGTGGCACCCAAAGCGGCCGTGGCCAGCCTTGCCACTTCCACAACCACAATGGCCGAATCTTCTATAGCGTTGGCCGAATCTTCCGTGGCAACCACTTTTCTGTCGTTGCCATCACCCGTGCCTCGTATCGTGGAACTCCAATTGACACTGCGACTGCTGGTGGCATCACTGTTGGGTGCCGCCGTGGGTCAAGAGCGCAGCATGACTCACAAACATTCGGCCGGTGTCCGAACCATGGCGTTGGTCGCGTTGGGTGCCTGTGCGTTTACCGTGTGCAGTCAATTTGGGTTCAATGCCGTGGGACGGTGCGATCCGTCTCGCATGGCGTCCAATGTGGCCAGTGGTGTGGGATTTGTGGGTGCGGGAGTCATTACGACCAGTACGGGAACGAACCCCAGTGACAGTCGTCAATCGATTGTGCATGGGTTGACCACCGCCACGGCCATTTGGATCTCGGCGGCCATTGGTGTGGCATGTGGTGTGGGAATGTTTTACATTGCCACAGCGGCGACTCTTTCCACTATTACCATTTTGAAGTTTGGCGGGTTCAAGAAAAAGTTCAAGAAACTCACGGAACATGGTCAGCAATCAAAATCAACTTCCAACAGTGTCACTACTAAAACCGAAAAGCCACAATCCATTCGTGTTGTCAGTACAACACCAGAAGAATTGCCCTTGGTGAAATCAACAACGGCGTCTCTAGAGGCAATGGACGATGAAGATGACGACGACGATGACTGGGATTATCATGTCGAGTCGGCAGACGAACAAGACGACGACGAAGAAGACGACGCAACAACCGAGGAAGAAGAAGAAATCGACCGCAAGAGACCGGTCTTACCCATGAAAGAAGATCTTCCCGAGTTGGATGAACTCATTGAAGCATACCATCGAAGCGGACAATCAGAGATTTTAGAAAAAGCTCTTGCTGCGTCCACTGCGAGGAATTTGACTGGGCTTGTGACTTCCTCGTCATCGAAGGGGTCCAAACGCCACGACGAGGACAACTATAAGGGATCCACCAAGGACAATCTGCATCGTTTGGAACCACGACAACCATTGTACGTGAGCAAGAGAGGAAACGAAACCTTTCGGCCTTAAATGGTATCGCCAGAAATTTAGAAGGATAGGCAGGTGTACGGGATTGCGCCATTGAGAACTTACAGCACATGGCGGATCCATCGACATTTTTAGAGACCAATCCATTTTATACCAGTGTACCACTGATCCATCTATTGCTCCGTATTTTTTGATTTGACATTCAAATTCAGCAGCAACTTTCATACAACGATAAAAAGTAGAGTCTTGTCTTGTTACTTATTCACTGCTGTTCATTACTTCCACATGCTTTGACCATCTCATGATCATTGGTACCTCGGAAGAAGCTACATGTACTTCAATGAGGGTGACACCATTCCAAAAGGGGGTTGAAGCTAAGCATGGGTCCAGTTCCTTGTGAATCCCTACCAAATAATGCCTGTGTCCAGGCTTCGACTTCCCATTGCCTTTTAGCTACCGGTAGCTAAAGGCAAGGCCACTCCTGACTTTGCCTGGGTATTCCCGAATGATCAAGTGCCATGGCCCAAAGCTGGGACCGCCATTTGTACCGGTACTATTACCCCCTGATCCCACGGAATCCTGTCCTAACTAAGTTCTGTCTTCTACGGTATTCTCTTATTGATTGGCACATAGCTGGCTGTTGTACACTGCTGGCGCATAATCCACTTCTGGAGTAGTAGCTGGGTTTTAGCAAGCCCCAAGTCTACGTACGGTACGGTACCGGTACAGGGGACAAACATGAGCTACTTGTGACAGTAGGTTGGTTGCTGTTGAAATCAATAAAAATATTGTTTTGGGCTGGGTTGCAAAAAAATTAAAAGCTTGTTTTCGAACGCTGTACTTGCTGGTACAGTCTACTCGCGCTAATATTACTTATTTAATATTACTTCTCGCTGTTATATTACCTGATTCTTCGGATCCCCCCCCAGTCCCGCATATCCGTGAATGCCTCATTTGCCGAAGCTGAAGAAGCACTCAACAAGCTTCCAAGAGTGCCTCTGCTTTGGTATCAACCAGGCGCCACTGTGCATCTTGACAGGTTTGCCAGGGCATTGAATGTGGCTAGGGCTGCTAGGGCGGGCAAGCGTAAACGTGACGGCTCTATCCATTCGTACTTTACTAGTGGAACCGGCCCTTGAAAAGCCTAATATTACTTCTCTCTATTATATTACCCGAAGTCCGAAATCCCCCCCAAGTAATATTAGAGCGAGTTGACTGTACACTGGTAAAGTACACTAGTCTAGCTAGCTAGTAACACTACTAATACTATTCAGACACTGTAGGTCTACTAGCTAGGCGTCTATTTTGACAAAATGATTTTTAAAAAGCCAGCGAGCTAATCCACAAAAAAATTGGAACCGCACACCCCGTTTGTTATGGGAAGCCGCTACTAGCTAGTAGCTTTAGCTTCCCTTTGGCATGTTCGTGCTCCTTGAAATGGTACAGCGTACTCTGGGTGCTCCTTGCACACTGGTGCTCTGAGTACTCCCTCCAAAGATGCTCCGGAGCCATCGAACTCATTAGCAACGGGACGAAGAAGCTACCATGATGCAGCGACTATCCCACACGCTGCTTGTTCTGGTGGTCATCAGTCCAAAGTATCAAGCAGACGCTGTGAATGAAACAAAGTTGGTATTGGATGACATGGCAATGCGCTGGGACGGCAAAAGATACCCAGAAAGAGCCTATCAAGCAATTCTAGATTGCCTTGGAAAATGGGATGAGCCCGTCATCGAAGCTCATGATGTTGCTTGGCGTTCATTCTATGAGATGTACATTAGCCTTCCTGCTGCACAGAACGAGGAAACGATGTGGAGTTCTAGTGGTGGTCCATTCTTGGAAACCGAACTTAAGAAGACAGAGGTATATGGTGGTAACTTCAATTCATTTGGCACTGTGGAAGTTAGAGAGAGGTGCAACTATGTTTCAAATATCGCATACTACAATGCTGCTTTGAGGATTTGTAAATATGACGACCGTTGGCATTCCAACAGCACTTTTCAGTCTGCACTGATGAAATCAATCTCGATGCAAGCCATTGGTTCAGCATATTTTCATGGCAGTTTCACTAAATTGGGATTCTTTTTTGACACTGAGAATCAAGGGCTCTCACTCTATCTTGCATATCAAATGTCCATTCAAAGTGTTGGAGAGATTTCTGATCCCAATTTCAATGAAACTGCATTCCGGACTGGAAGCAACTCGCTGACTCTCGAGGACATTACTCCCTTTTGGAAGCCTGTTGATGCAATCACCTTCCTTCCATTGGATGAAGATTTGCCCTTTACGGAATGGGCCAACTTCATAAAAGACCAAAAGATTCCTGTGCTTGAAGAAAATGTCTTGGCACTTGTAGCATGGATATGTGTGTCAACGCTTCCCTATGATTGCTGCAATCAAGTAGTGAATGACGTGGTGGCTCCTATCTTCATCAACGACGAAGAGCAGCTCGACTTTTTGAGAAACATCTACTTCCCACAAGCCAAGATTGCAGCTGAAAGCCTCGATTTGCCAATGCCCCTTTGGATTGGACTACCCATTTTGACCAAAGGGGCTGGGGCAGCAATCTCGTTCCTCTGGGCATACCTCTTTCAGGAGAATCGACTCCCAACACCAGGTTTGGAGGGCATGTACTTCAATACCACAGCGCTGGGGGCCATTGCCACACCATATGTTGATTTCTTTGTCAATTTGCTGACTGGGTTTGGCAATCCAACCAAGTACATCTACAAGAACAAAGAGGAGGCTTACCCTGGAGCAAGTTTTTGCAACAGGGATTCCCCACATTCCCTTTGGCATCAGCAAAGCGCAGTGAGTCTAACTAAAGTCGATACATGGGGCCAAACATGTAGGAAAAGATTTCTCACCATTGTTCTATTTGTTTGCCAGGATGCCATAGCCGAACTTGCTTACCTAGGAGACAGACTGTTTAAGGTCCTGGAAGATCGGAAGGAACGAATGCAGCACAGAAGTTGGTTTGGATCTGGTGTCTTTGACAGTTTTCAGAATGTCCGTGGTGGAAGCCGTGACGGTGAAGACTAGAAAGATCATTGGGTCTAGCTAGCTAGAAGGGCAAGGGAGTATCCCAGGAAAACAGTGCAACCGATGGCAAAGAAAGACAAGGTTGCGGGTACTGTACCGGTAACCTGTTTTCAGGTATCATCAATTTCTTTCTTTGCGATGAAAACTGGAAGAATAACTGAATTTGGAAGAATGACAATCTCGAGGGCTCCACGTAATATCACCTACTAGGCTTTTTGACAGGTGACCAATCCGGAAGCTGTCTGGAATTCATTAGCAAGACTCAAAGTGGAAGATTTACTGAAACATGCAGTTTGACGAAAAGCAAGTGAACACAAACCCTGCACCTCCATGGCAATCCTGTAGACTGAGAATTTGAAGCAGCGGAGGTTGCCGCCGCTCTTCCTTGCTCAAAGTCGTGTTGCCGGGTGGAAGTGCCCAAAGTGATTGTTCATCACTAGCCAGACTCGGCAAGGATCTTAGCACGTAGGCCATGCTATGGTACCGGAGAGAGAGGTAGGCTCGGCTCTATTCAACTAAACGCCGACGAATAAGGTTGTATTTCTCCTGATCAACTGTCCAGTGTTATCCTTGCTGGTTTTCGCTGTGTTGTAACAATTCTACAACGGAGTTTCCACCAGTGGCTGAGAAGCCCAGGCCAGGGCAGCACGAACTAGTGAAGTGGCGATGCGCCTGAGTTACTTGATTGAGTTACAAAAGTGATTTGGCTTTTTGATATACGTACTAGTAGCTTATTTTCATTGAAAACACGTGGCGATGTGATGAAGCGCATAAATGGAACAGATTGTTGGCATAGGTGGATGTCACGTTTGTGGCGTTGCAGCTGCACTCATTTGAGAAGATTATATGCTGGTCCCCGTGATGAGCAAATTCTTCTCTTCCCCCATGAAATTGCTTGTGGCCACAAATTTGGGTTGACCGAGTTTTGGTGCTTCCAATTCATGAAGCTCTCGCTTCCTTTCTTGGACTCTGTACACCAGAATGCCCAACGCCAGGGTAATCAAAGTGCAAACTATAACCAGCATGAATGGCGTTGCTTGAAATTCTACAATGGATCGGAAGGGAGATCGGTCTCTTTTGTCCTGTTCTGCACTCGGGGCATCTTCGAAAAAGGCCTGGGACAAACAGTGTGGACCCGTGAAGCCGGTGTTGCAGACGCACACCTTGGCGGCGCTGTCATGGATTACAGTGCTGAACATGAACGAGAGACCCCTCGGCGACACACAACGTCCCATTCCTTGAGTTGGTTTTGACAATGCTCGCTTCTTGCCGCTAACTGCAGCTTCGTAGGTTTTCGTCAGGTTTGTTTTCAGGTTGTTGCCGCCACAGTCTGCGTCCGTTTTGCACGCCCCACCGCCGCGCTGGATGCGTTTAAGAGGATGGACATCATCGTAGGAGAATGGCGGATTGCGCATGTATCTGTATTCATGCCCTCGGATAAACTCCCTTGTGGGGAACTCCGGTGGATCACAGCCTAAAGTGTGGTTTTGCCCCACGTGGGCGCTGGCATTGTGACTCTGGTATACTCGAATGGAGTCGATTTTCATGGACACGCCTCCTTGCCGCAAAATCTCGCAAAATCCAGGAGCAAAAGCACAGGCGCACGTTGGATCATCGCAGTCGTAACATTTGGTACACCAGTCGGGAACATCGTAAGGGAAACCCCATGTTGATGACACTGCTGTGTTCATGATCAAGTAGGTCGGTTCGATAGGGATCTGGGATCCCATGGTTTTCTTAAGAACTTCATCTTTGATTGTCAATACTGGGACCCAATCCGGTCCATCACCGTCACCCACGTCGTAGTAGGTACCGTTCTCATTAGTCTTTTGGTATCCTTTTGTGTACCAGTCGAGACGACCACCAGGGCCCGGTTGCCATTCCAGTCGAATTGTGTGCATCTTTTCGAAGTGCGAAGGTGTCAGCTGGTGAACAACTCCCACCGCATCTGCTTGGAAGGCTTGTTTCGCCGTTCTTGTCACTGGTTCTCCAGGTTTAGTTTTGGCCAAGTAAGTTCCGTAGAAGAAAGGGTTAATGGATGTATTGCCAGCGTATTCCAGGCCTTCGTACCAGGTGTTTGCCTGAAACTGTGTGAACCCATGCACCTTGGTCTCATTTTTTTTTGGCAGTCCTCCTGATTGGGGACGATTCTTCTCAATTCCAGGGGCCAACTACGCAAAGGAGGAACAACGAAGATTTGATCAGCCAACGATGGACTTGGTTTTCTGAAAGGCAAGAGAAGAGACACATCACTTACCTGAAGAGTCATGTCAGCGTAAGGAAGTGCCACAGGAGGATCCGTGGCAGCAAAGAAACCACCCGAGTCTCCTGTCATGACTTCAATGATATCGATCTCTGTAGCCCCCCTTCCTTGGAACGGATGCAGGCCATAGTGATTCTGCCGGTTGCAGGCCGAAATGGCTTGCCGCGGCTGCATTTGTCTATCGCACTTATCAAAACTCCAGGGCCAGATATTGTTGGTCGATGCTTCGTAGGTGGCTCGGCCTAGATTGCCCAACATCCAGACAGCAGGCCACAAACCTCCAATATTGGGATGTCCTGGCAGAATCATGTCCACTTCGACAATGCCTCCCGTAAAGCAAAACTTATTCCAAGATTGCACCATTCCAGATTTGTAATAGGTGGTTTCTTGTGTCCACTTTTTCTTGACGTGATCAAATCTCGTCCACTCGGTCTTCTCCAGAGTTGTATGTATCAGGAGCGACCCATTTACAATCTGAACATTGGTTGAGTTGTAGAACTGCTGAGAACCTCCTCCTGCCGAAGACGCGTCATCATCGGATCTATCCAAGGCTGTCCACATGGGATCATGACCGTCTGTCAAAGTTCGATTGTCGGTATTGAATTCATCTGACATGACCTGGAATTTGGATGGATATACAAGAAAATGAGGCATACAAGACGCCTTCAGTTGCTAGCTACCCGTTGGAAGACAACCAGCGGGGGCACTTACGAGGTGATAAACCGATCCATCAACAATAGATGTCGTGGTTCGCCTGTCCAACGGTGTGTCCATGTCGATAAAGCTAGCTTGCCCGGCCACAATCAACAACAAGCACAGGAGCACCCGGAAAGCAGAAGCCGTGCCTTCTCGGCGTTTTCCCGTGTAGCACACCATTTTTTCGTTCAACTGAAGACTGCTAGCAAGTGCCTGAAGTCTATATTGACAAATGTTATTGGAGTTGTTGGATAAGGTCCAAAATCAAGCCAACACTTGGTGGCAGGGGAATATTGAATTGTGGACCCTTGAGTGCGTTTTGAATTGGAGGTGGCAGGAAAGCTCCTTGTCCAAAATCGGTTCAACAGCAGCAATCAACGCTAAACACTGAGAGCAGCTACTGCAACACAGATTTGTATTGAATTCTATTTCGAGAAAGGCCGGCACAAATAATCGGATTGATTGGTTTCTCGGCTAACGTCATGGTCGCTTCCCCATCAACGCACTCGTACCTTACGCACTTTCATCCTTTTGGGTCTTTTACGGTGTCGGTACGAAGAGTATCCAGCAAAGCTGCCTCCGACGCCACGTACTAGCGACTCGATTAGTCACGATTCGCGACCAAATAATCGAGTTTCGAATCTTATCATTCTAGCTAGCATTTTTCGTTGCTTTGTTTTGTGCTGAGTGCCTTCTCCAGGTTGCATTGGATAAGATTGCGATGATACTCTCAGCAACATGATGTTTGCATCTGTCAATAAGCGAAACGATGCGAGCTTGATAATGCGATCCACATTGGTTCTGCTGATTCTGCTGAGTGCTGGCTCTTCGTTCAGCCTTGTCCAAAGTTTCCCCACAACAGCAAAGACAATCTACCAATATAATCAGGCAGCATTGGGTAGACACCGTCATTCTTCTTTGTCGGCATCCAAGAGTTCGGAAGCGCCGCCACTGCCACCATGGAAGTTTCAAGCAAGTCGCATATACTACCAATTTCGAGCCATTCCCACGAAGAATGCTAGGCAGTACTGTCCACCCTGCCAAGGCAATGCGTCACCCTTAATTCTTCTCTCGTTGGGAGGGTATACACTGGGTGGAATCTTTTGCATTGAATATCAAGAATCTCCTATTGGATCCTACCGTGAAGTGGCATTCTTGTCCAGTTTGGTGGCACGGCCTCCATTCATTGGTGCATGGGCGTCTCACATAATCGTCGATTCCGAGGAGGCTGCCAAGTATGGACAAGAGTTTTGGGGACTGCCAGCTACAGTTTTGCCAATCAACTTTATTGCTGATTCTTCGTCAGAGGAATCCACCAAAATCTCCAATCAGCACGGATCCATCCTTTTGTCGGACAATGTGATTCAAGTCTCTGGTTGGGGTACAACGGTCCCCAACAATAACGACAGAACAACAAATACCATCCCAAAACTCATTCTGGAAAAATTGGATGTGTCCCTGCCAAGCTTCAGTGGACTTTTACCGGTAGACAACAACGAGGCTGCAGCAAGCAAGCCTTCACCACTTTTGCAGTATCCCTTGAGTATTGAAAAGCCGTCTTCCTTGGGGTTGGACCGTTCCAAGTCTCTTCAGTTTGGAGACGTTGCGGACAGTAGCATGTTACACGAGGTTCAGAGCTTGTTGCAAGGAAGTCATCCTTTGGCGTCCGTGGGAGTGGAGAATGTAACATTGGTTGCGGGAGATCCGGATGTGGTTGATTGAGACCGAAAATTGGCAGCTGTGAATTATAACATCAAGACCACCAACAGCATTTCAGCCATTGGACTGTTTCTCAGTGTTGTGATCAGCTGAGAATACATCTATTTATTCAACAAGTACCAGTACCGGTACCAAGGACTACGATAAAGGTCGGACCTCGGTGTCAGTCTAAGATACCCTCTGGGAACCTGCTTGATTTTTATCGAAAGGATCCTTTTGAACTGGGAAGCTACGGTGGCCATTACCCACGATGTGTCATGATTGCTTTCTTTGATTCTGTCAAATGACATATGTACACTGTAGACTACCTTAGAGGTATGCATATAGATACAACCTTTCTAGCTAGCTTTCTCAGACGGTATCCCTATTTATGTTGCCTTCGCTATGTCACCTACCGTAGCTCTACTGGCTAGCTAGCAGTCGTCTATGGATGTTTTGCTTGGGTAACTTGCCTCCATTACTTTTACGGTACCGGGTATTGTTGGCTCAGTGGGAGCGACGGCCTCTCCCGGATTTTTGGTGCTCTCCTCCAAGTCTTTCGGTGTCAGCCAGATCTTTGCGCCGTTCCGCCAGATCTTCGCGCGCTTCCTCACACCGGTACCGTACCTCGTTGGAAGCTCCTCCATTGTTACTATATGCCTGTAGCTACAATAGCCAGTCTCCAATAGCAAGTAAGTATCGACGAGTGCAACATGAGTAACAGCAAGCCAGATGGCAGTAAAATCAGCGTCCGCTTCGTCTTTGTGGTGGCTCTGGCTGTTTGTTTTATCCAGTTCATTCGATATGATGCCACCCGACCAACTCAAGGGCTGGATCAGGAACATGAACTACTAGATGTTCCTACCACAAGAGACCTCTCCTCGGCATCTCCCACAAAATACGAGACAAAAGCAGCAGCAACCAAGCCACAAGCAGAAGAACAAGATAAACCAAGACCTTCTCGATATACCCCAAAACAAAAAGATCAGCTGACAACGACCACAAAATTGCCACCCAAAGAACAAGATCTGGCAACTGTAGCCAAAACAGAACCAGAAGATACCAAACAGCCAACACCAACGGAATCGCTTCTATTAGACAAGAAAGCTTCTTCTGTCAGAGTAAGAGAGAAATCGGACGGCGCAAAGGAAAACCAATCGGAAAAACCGAAACAGTCCAAGACTGCGAAAGAAGCCAAGAAAGAAAAGCCACAGAAAACCAAGAAGAAAAACCTGCCAGCAGTAGAGAAACAGTCCAAAACAGCGACAGAAACACCACCACCACACGAAACCAAGCAGGTAGATGTCCAAGAAGAAGCGATCAATGCGCAACCAAGTGACGCCAAATTACCAAAGAAAGAAACCAAAGAGGCAGCTGTCCATCAAGAGCATGCCAACAATACACAACCAAGTGACGCCAAAATTTCCGATAACGGTGAGGAGACTACACTACCACTGTCAAACCCAAAAATTTCCGATAAAGTTGAGGAGACTACACTACCAGTTTCAAAAGAACTGGAGCTAGTGCAAGGCGACAAAACAACTCTATTTTTGTACTCGAATTCCAATTGTTCTTCCCAACCAGTGCAATTCATGGAAGCACACGGGAAGGAGCCCGCATTGCTAAAGACGGACACTTTTCCGAGTTCGGCTCGTGTCCAAGGTTCAGGTCTCGCAGAAGTGCTGAGGGGCGAAGCGGGGGAATCATACGTGGGCGTGTTGGTGGAGCAGGATGGTTGCTTTGACTTTGATGCGTTGCGACGGTGGTACAGCTTTAACCATGTGAGGTTCATGGTGCACACCGCATCCAACACGGACACGGCCATATTTGGCAAAAGACAAATACCCGAAGCACTTCAGAAACAATTCACTACAGCAGCCGACATATACAAGCCTCACACCAAAATTGTTTTTAGTGTCACTTCGGCACACTACTTTGGATATCAAGTGCTTGCCAGTGCCTTTTCCTTTTTGGATTCCAACCAAACCAAATCCAGCTGGATTCGACTGCTATCCGCCAAACAGCCGGACGATCTTGCGGAACGATTTCCAACATTTACAGCTCCCAGAACTCCTGAGAGCAATTTTTACACTCCAATCAACAAGCCAGATGTCATTATGAAGTGGTTTCAGTCCAAAGATGCACCTCATCCAGATGATACCATAGTGGTGGTGGACCCAGATAGCTGGTTCTTAAAAGATATGAATCGCTGGGTGTCTCCAGTCAAGCGCAAAAAGGCGAGAGGGCAAAAGGCATTCTATGAATGGAACCCTACGCAATGCCAGGAACTGTGGAGACTATTCTGCCTAACAAATTGTGACAGAGACATCGACCTTGTTGGGGTAAGTAATCAACATTTACCTTGGCTTGCGTGATGGCTGCGTGCTTGAATATTTCCTCGACGTCGTCTCATCTGTCTCGCTTCAGGTTCCGTACTTGCTCAAGGCTTCCGACTTGAAGGAAGTTGCTCCATGGTACGAACAAATCCAAGTCGTCAATTACCGGTGATGCATGGCCACTCATGCCTTTTCGCTATTTCTTCAGGTGGAAACGCTATACAATGATGCTACATGCCAGGCTTGAAGCAGAACCACAGCTTTTGAAAAAGTACGAAACGTTAGGTTTGGCATGGGCGAAGGAAATGTACGGTTATAACTTTGCTTGTGCTCATTTGAGCGTCAAGTCGGACGTTCTCAAAGCATTGCAAGTCCGAGATATTGAGTCAAAATTCGCCCACAAACTGTACAAGCAAACTCCTACAATTCACATGGGACGAGCCTGGTTTCCCAAAAAGGCTGCTACACAAGCTGAGCAATGGAGGAATAGCGACGATGGCGGGTTCAATTGCAAGGGAAATTGTATCCAAGTTTGGTGCAAATGCAATCTCACGGCATCAGAAACCCCAAACCATCCATGGCCATTACCGGACGGTCTAGACTTTGTGTCTTACCACACGTTGAGGATCTTACATGATTCTGCAGAGCGCTTTGGTCCGGTGCCTCAAAATATCACCTTCCGAAATCCAAGAGATCCCTACTATCCCTCACAGTAGAATTGCTAGGGGGGCATTAGAGGCAAACACTACGTAAGACCGAGAAGAAGAACCCCAACCCCCAACCAACCTACTACTATTTTGTAGCTGCGAGAAGCCATCACTTTATGACTCCACCGAGAACTTGGGTCTTTGATCTTTGTAGCCGCCAGAGGCAACCGGATTGACCTGCCCCAATAGCAGCTACCGGACAAAGTGTTCGAAGAAGCCACGACCAAGCATCCACAACACAAGCTGTACAACAATCTATGTGGGAGCAAAACTAATGTAGTCGTGCATTCTGGCCTACCGTAGCTAGACACTGTTTATCCTCCAGACGCTTTCATCCGCCAGCACTTGTTTTCCGGCACATGCCTGGGAGGAGGAAGTGATCAAAGGAGACCGCGGACAACAAGAGCACTCTCTGGCGAGACATCCAGGATGCCCTCCAACTTTTCTGCTACAGCATCCTTGGAGTCGTTGATGCGTCGCTCAAAATATGTGGTGTAATTCTCGACGTTTACCGTATTGGAAGCATAGATCATGGTAAATTGGTATTCATAGGACGTGTTGCCGAACTGCAGGCTTGGACCAAACACCGCCCCCTGTTTCTCTTGAACTGCCAACTTTTGCATTTCGTTCCCAGAGGTGAGGGTCACCCAGATATCCTCATCGTAGCTCTTCTGGGTCTCGTAGAGACAAACGGATGTGACATTTCTGATCTCCTCTGATGTTGCATAATCGGGAGCGAAAGATGATGTTGTGTTCTCCATGAAACCTGCGAGCTCCTGTACTTGTGATGGCGACCTCATCGCACCATCACCAGTGGGACCATCCAATGTGAAGATGAGGGAAAAGGTTTGGTTGGAGTTGTGCATGTAGATTGTTCCAGTGGGGCTTGTTGTCGAGGACGTTGGGTTCATGGACAATGTTGGAACGCTGGTGGGCGCAATCGATGGAGTCGAGGGGCTCATCGAGTTGGTGGGAATGCTAGTGGGTCTGAACGAGGGGGTCTCTGTGATTGTGGGACTTGGAGCGATATTCCCATTGGCCTCATTTTCAACAGCCGGTGGTGGCAGGGTGTCATTGCTAGATTGGCGACCGGGGATTGCACCCACAGTAAAGAGGATAATTACAATGGCAGCGATCAATAACACAAAGCCAAACAAATAAAACCAGCGACGACTGATCAATAGTTTCCCCTGCCTGTCTTCCGTCTCTTGTTGGTTGGGATCTGTAGCTGGAGCAGGCTCGGCCCGTACAATTTCGGGCTCAAATACAATTCTGGCTTCCAAAAGGGGAGGTCGTGGGTTTTCTCTTTCAGCAATCGTTGGGGCATCAAGTACATGAACCGCTGCTTCCAGATCTTCCACTGGAACAGGATTGGCGCGATCACCAGCAGCACCCCCTCTTGCAGTCCGCTCTGGAACGGAAGGAGGGTCCTCGGTATCGACCTCGGCGTGTTCGGTATCTCCAGCAGCTCCAGTACCCTCCTGCCGCCGCTCCTTTTTTCTGGCATGATACTGCTGACTCCTTTCAATGGTTGTGCGACTCGCTACGTTCTCGGTCTTCTTCTTTCGCTCTGCGTAAGCTTGCCGAGATGCTGGGAAGCGAGGTTTCGCGGAGGGCTCTTCTTCTGCTATCGGCTTGGCGCCCTTTTCTTGCTTCTTACGTTGCGCGTATTTTTCTCTAGAGGCAGGAAATGAACCAGGTGTGGCAGCATCCGATGCTTTGATGTCCTCTAAGTTAGAAGCCATGGTGGATCCAGCCGCCTGAGGTTTGCTGGGCATGTCTGTAAAAAAGGATGAAGGAGGAAGCGAGCGAAAAGTGAGAACCCATGCCAGCCACTGGTAGAGCCACGACTGAGCGTCCCTGAGGCGTGGCTGATTTCGCAACAAGAAAGCTTCGCATCCCAGAGATCTTTTCTATTTTGCGACTGTTCATGAAGACATCTCCGGCTGAATGTTGGATGGAGCAGCAGGGACAGCCAGATATACCAAAGGTGTAGATTGTGTGCCACAGATAAAGTCTCTGCCAAGGCAACCAAGCCAGGCATCTCTTCTCTACTTCTCCATGGCAGCCTCCCCTTTCGCACCATCACCTCATTTCTTGATGCTGGTTTGATTGATCATTTCATTCCAATACCGTAGTAGGTACCGGTACCATGAATAAACCACCCAACTTTACCACTCGAGACAGAACGGCGCTGAATTTTGGAGTCCATTTCTTATCCTTTCGAGAGATTCTGGCCATGAAGGGTCCATTTTGTACGCGGCAAGAGCGTGAGCAAAAGGCCATGGCACCAATGCGACCTTTTTCGTCCGCGAATCAGAAGGAGAGACCCATTCTCCTCTTGTTTTGCTCTCATGTTTGGGAAACACCGCATCATCCAGATCCAGATAAATCACAACTGAATTGCTTGAAATATTTCATCCAAGCGCTTTGCTCGCTGTATACCACTATTAGTGACAACCCCACCACCGTCGATGGTTTCGAGGCCATGGCCCGCGAAGCAGAGAATCTATCTCGGCATGGTTGGATTCAAGCAGCCCTGCTCTTGGGAGATATGTTATCGACCACCAGCGGCGTGGTGGATCTACAGTTGCACAATGATGCTGAACATTTCCTGGACCGGTCCTACATTTGGTACGACTATGCCTGTCTCTACCAACACCCCCGTACCCCAGAACAAGAAAAGGATTTTCGCTGGTCACTAGACAACATGGACAAACTCACTCGCAACTGCTTCCGTACCATTGCCGTGTTTGGTGACGAAGCAGACTATCACAGTCGAGGATGGTGTGTTTTCGAGGCAGCGTCGTCCTTTTTTGATCGGTCCCGACCCATTGTACTAAAGCCCGATTTGATGGGCACGGAACTGGACTTGGGCACTGGCTGGCGGCATGGCTGGAACGATTACGGGCTGCTTCATTCTGCCGATCGCATGTCGCTCCGGAGAAGTTTGCGGGGAATTGCGCATACCGTACAACTGGCTCTTCGTTCCCTCGAGAACCCAGACCTGCAACTAAAGCACAGCAGACAGATAGTCTCCTCCGGAACTCCCACGATCCTGCCTCTGATTGTGGAGTTGCGAGAAGGCTTCCAACGACAGCATGCTTGGGTTGCCGAGAATCCATCGTCTCTATTCGATTTTCAAAAGGTCCTGGAGGAAATCAAAGGGGTCAAATGCTTCAAGGTTTCTGACAAGCCATATGTAATCTTGAAGACTCTGATCGTGTTCTTGCCAGCATTTGACTCCCAAATCTTTGAGGAAGCCCTGAACAGGCACTCCCAGGGATTGCCCTTGGCCATGCAAATGGCTGGTACCGCTCAAACTAACTGGTTCCATCAAGATTACGTATTCGTATCTGAGGACGGACACAATGGTCGCATCTTTCGATTTGGAGACTTTGGAGACCCGAGTCTCCCCGTCGTCGATATAACAGGACTGGCAGCTTTCCTTTCAGGCCAAACAGTCCCCGGATTCTTAAACAGCATTTCGCCTTGCTTCCCCATCAACCCCGCGGAGACACCAGATAGACCTGATCCATACACCAAAAGTTCCCCACCACCCAACGGCAACAATCAACAGAAATCCTCATGGTCCATCTTGGCGCTGACACGAAAGGTGTGTTGTCCTTGTCTTGCTCGTGGTCGCCAAGGACCTGATTCAGGGTATCATGTTCAAGTGCCACAGAGCGAATTAACTGCTTTGAAGAATGACAAGAACACTGAAAGGCAACTGATAGAATCATTTGTCGTGCCTTCTGGCACCATTGCTCGATTTGACTTCTCCACTACACCTTTATCCAGAATCATTGCAGCAATGCACGGGGATTTGGCGGATTCCAAGCTCTTGAAAAAGGCGATAGAGCTGCAATTCCTTACCGAAGAAGTGGGCATTCAAGTTTCGGGAGTGCCACAATCTGCACGGCGTGGGCATGTCATCGCTTCGGACGGAGGTGGTCTACAAGTAGCCCCGGTTGCGGGCCCAAACAATGAACGATTCATCAAGGTTTGTGCCGATCCACATCTTTTCCAACGAAACTTTCCCGGACAATTCAATTCGACGCTCTCCGGCCGAGAGGCCATTCACATGGCCAGTCAGATGCCAGTAGATGGTTTGTTGATTTGCAGTGCCGTTGCGTGGCGATCGTTTGTAATGCCCCAACACGAGTTTCCCAAATACATGGAGCTTCCAGCACCACCACCATTGTTTACGTGCCCTGACGACTGTGAGGTGGCGGTCATATTCTCCCCTTTAGATGGCAGACCTGTGGACGTACGAACAATTGCTTCCCAGGCCAGCAAGGGCGCCGGGTCCGAGGCTCCTTCGTGCTTGGCCACGGGAGAGGTCCACTTTGATGAAGAGACAGAAGTCTCTGCAAGTAAAAGTGGATTCTCAGCCACTGATCCAACACCAGGACATGCATTCGCCTAGCGAAGTGTCTTGCCCGAGACAGCAACAATGCTTAAGCCGGTGATGACAGCAAGCGCTACTAGTAGTACTGTAGATACACCCGCGCTGTTCGTGCATACTGAATTATTGATCTGGCCACTGCAAAAGCACTCGGAAGAATCAACACATTGTTGCCATCACCTAGCCCCGACTGGCTTCCGTAGATAATTTCCCTACTCTAAACCCCCCCGTGCTAGTATACTTTGTTACAGCCATACAGCCTGGTGAACGCATGAAAGAAACTTTACCTCGGCAGGTTAACTGCCTTTAGAAGTTCTCAACCCCTTTTTAACCTCAGCAGTCTATCTGCCTGAGCCCTCACCCCCTTTTTTGGTATTACGTCTCCTCGGGACGACGCTCCTTTTGGTTACCCCCTCAGTTGCACTCCGAAATCGATTTGCCGGCGTTTACTGTGTAAATTAGAGTAGCGGCAAGTCAGTTGCAGAATCAACGGTCATGTGTATCGTTAAGTAACAGGTTCTCTTTCGAAACATTTAGTCGATTCGTGGATAAAAAGAACCGTTGAAGTTGCTAAGGTTAAGGTTAAACTGATTGAGTTTCTTTATCCAATCGACCTCAGTTGAAATCGATGGATCGAACGACTGGTACGAGGTACCAGGTAAACCTATTATCAAGAGTGTTAATTGAAGGTATAGCGCTGACGTCTCTCCCTCATTGGATTTATATGGTATTCAGGAGAGAATTCCAAGCTCGGCCGTCAACAGGTGGGTTGTTTAATTATTCTAATCGAATTGGTTCTTGCACCTCTGTTATCCAAGCCTCACTCAAGCCGACCGTCTCCGGTGTAGATTGGAAAGCCATCCCTCATTGAATCCTATGGTCGGTGGGATGGCAGTCAGTTCTCGGCCCATGACAGTCAAGTTGGTGGTCTACTATACCGGTACAACTACCAGGTACGTGTACAGTCGTACAGGTCCAGCCAAGTCCATTGTTGAAGGTGCAGCACTGACTTCTCTCCCTCATTGAATTGCTATGGCAAACAGGAGAGAAATCCAAGCTTGGCCGACAAGAATGGTGTTGGAACAATCGAACGACTGGTACGGTACTGTACGATGTAAGCCTAGTATCAAGAGTGTTATTGAAGGTGCAGATTCGAAAGCCATCCCTTATTGGATTTCTATGAACCAGGGGAAGGCAGTCAGATCTCGGCCATCAACAGGTGAGTTGTTCTTTAATTATTTAAGTGATAGTCAATCAATCGCACCTCTATTATTTCTCACTTAAAGCCGTCCTTCTCCGGTGCAAATTCGAAAGCCATCCCTCATTGAATCCTATGGACCATGAGATGGCAGTTAGTTCTCGGCCCATGACGACCAAGTTGGTGCAATTTGAAAAGCAAGAGTAAGTCTCCGGTCGTCTGCAGTTGAGCACAGAAAACAAAACTCATATCTATTTGTTGTTTTCTCTGCTGTACTACTGATGGCCGAGGAAATACCATTGTCGATGGTCGATCGCTCCGGATAAGAAGAGGAAGAGGCTCTGTTAACTCAAGCCCTATCAGCAGCCTGAACGGAGGAGATCGTCGTCGAGTCATTGAAAAGGGAACACGAGCGAGCCAACAATACACAAGAGAGTGGATCCTACTACTAGATTCACCCCTCCAGTGTTATTTCCTAATAGTGTTTTGGTGGTGATTCATATGTCGGTACCCACTTTCCTGTATGCACAAGTCCTCGGGCGAACGACGTACGATAAAGATAGATAGATAACTCGTAAGATAATAGATCATCGATTACCGACCAATAGACCACTCCTTTCATTAAATAGACACCTTATAGATCAATAGGATTGACAATATTCGGTTGTGTATATATTGGTCATAAGGATCCAATGCGAGGTACCTGTACCAGAGTGTAGCGAGCAAAGCCGAACCTGAGTGTGTTCGGTACTGTTGCCACTGTCGCCGATGTAACTATACGGTGTGTAGCCGACTACATTTGCTGGATTGACAATATTTGGTTGTGCATGTATTCGTCATAAGGATCCATTGCGAGGTAACAGAGTGTAGTGAGCGAAAGCCGAACATGAGTGTGTTCGGTACTGTTGCCACTGTCGCCGATGTAACTATACGGCAGCCGGCTACAATGGCTGGATTGACAATATTCGGTTGTGCATGTATTCGCATAAGGATCCAATGCGAGGTAACAGAGTGTAGTGAGCGAAAGCCGAACATGAGTGTGTTCAGTACTGTTGCCACTGTCGCCGATGTAACTATACGACAGCCGGCTACAATGGCTGGATTGACAATATTCGGTTGTGCATGTATTCGCATAAGGATCCAATGCGAGGTAACAGAGTGTAGTGAGCGAAAGCCGAACATGAGTGTGTTCAGTACTGTTGCCACTGTCGCCGATGTAACTATACGACAGCCGGCTACAATGGCTGGATTGACAATATTGGGTTGTGCATGTATTCGTCATAAGGATCCAATGCGAGGTAACTGAGTGTAGGGAGTTGGAACTAAGGAATCAAGAGACGAATGCTGAAAAAACAGAATTTCCCGTTTCCTGCTCCGGTGAAGCCAAAATATAGGGGTAGAGATAGGCGTAAGCCAACAAATCTGGAAATTGAAGGTTCTACAAATTTAGGGGTAGGAATAAATCATGATTATTCAAGGTTAGTGTACTCAACACAATAAGCCAGCAGAAGCTACAAAAGTTACAGGTACATACTGGAGTGACAGCTGTAAAATTATGGTTAGCGGGCGGCAACACACGACGAAGTCGGGTGTTGAAGTCGGGTGTTGTTGCCAGGGCTAGCTTAAATATAAAAGAATGTTATAATGAGGGAATGATACCGGGCGGCAACACACAACGAAGTCGGGTGTTGTCGTCAGGGCTACCTTGAAAGAAGGGTGCAATTTCAAACATGATCCTCTTTCTTCTATTTGTCTTTCTGCCGAGGTATCACAGCTCCCGCTGACTTAAAATGCTATTTCCTATTTCGTCTCCATGAGACGACGCACCTTTTGGTTACCCCCTCAGTTGCACTCTGAAATGGATTCGCTCGCGTTTACTGTGTAAATTAGTGTACCCGAACTTCAGTTGCAGAATCAACGGTCATGTGTATCGTTAAGTAACACATTCCCTTTCGAAAAATTTAGATCGATTCGTGGATAAAAGAACCGTTGAAGTTACTAAGGTTAAAGATAAACTGATTGAGTACCGATGGTCACTCGAGCGAAAGTCCATTATTGAAGGCGCAGCACTGACTTCTCTCCCTCATTGAATTCGTATGGTAAACAGGAGGTAAATCCAAGCTTGGCCGACAACAATGCATAGTGAGTGCTTTATCCAATCGGCCGATCGATCGAATTGATCGAATCGATTCGAGGTAAGAGTATTAATTGAAGGTACAGCGCTGACTTCTCTCCCTCATTGGATTTCTATGGTATTCAGGAGATAAATCCGAGCTTGACCGTCAACAGGTGAGTTGTTCTTTAATTATTCGAATCGATCGGTCGGTCGCACCTCTATTATCTCTATTGTCAAGCCTCACTCAAGCCGGTCGTCTCCGGTGCAGATTCGAAAGCCATCCCTCATTGAATCCTATGGACCATGAGATGGCAGTCAGTTCTCAGCCACGGACGGCCAAGTTGGAGAACAAGGGTAAGTCGCCGGTTTTCTTCAGTGTCAGAATACAAGAGAAAACCATAGCTATTTCTTACTCTCTATTCACTTACTGCTGACGGCCGGCGAACTACCATTGTCGAGTCCTTTTCGGTCGCTGGCTTCGATCGATCGCTATGAACAAGAGGATGCTCTGTTAACTCCAGCCCTATCACCAGCCTGAACATCGTCGAGTCATTGAATGGCAACAGTCGTCAACCGGAGGAGGAGGCTATACGACACACGACAATACACAAGAGAGTGGATCCTCCTACCAGATTCATCTCTTCTTATTATTTCCTACTGTTTTGGTGGTGATTCCTGTGTCGGTACCCATTTTCCTGTAATTGCAAGTCAAGTACTGTTGCCACTAGCTATACGGCAGCTGGCTACAATGGCTGGATTGACAATATTCGGTTGTGCTTGTATTCGTCATAAGGATCCAATGCAAGGTAACCGACTGCAGCGAGCAAAGTCGAACCTGAGTGTGTTCGGTACTGTTGCCACTGTCGCCGATTGATGTAACTCTACGGTAACTGGCTACAATGGCTGGATTGACAATATTCGGTTGTGCATGTATTCATCATAAGGATCCAATGCGAGGTACCGGTAACCGTAGCGAGCAAAGCCGAACTTTTGGTACTGTTGCCATTGTCGTCGATGTAGCTATACCGCAGCCGGCTACAATGGCTGAATTCATAATGTTCGGTTGTGCATGTATTCGTCATAAGGATCCAATGCAAGATACCAGTACTGGTAACGAAGTGTAGCGAGCAAAGCCGAACCTGAGTGTGTTCGGTACTGCTGCCACTGTCGCTGATTGATGTAACTCTACGGTAACTGGCTATAATGGCTGGATTGACAATATTCGGTTGTGCATGTATTCGTCATAAGGATCCAAACTGAGGCAAAGGGATACAGGAGGCGAGCGCTGAAAAAAACCGAATTTCCTATTCGGGTGAAGCCAAAGTATAAGGATAGAGATAGTCAGAAGCCAACAAAACTGAACTTTGATGAAGGTTAGTGCACTCAGCAGAAAGCACAATAAGCCAGCAGGAGCTGTAAATGTTAGAGTTATAATAAGGGAATGACAGCTGGTAAATTATAGATTAGTGGGCGGCAACACACGACGTAGTCGGGTGTTGTCGCCAGGGCAAGCTTAATAAAAAAGAAGGTTACAATGAGGGAATGATACCGGGCGGCAACACACGACGTAGTCGGGTGTTGTTGCTAGGGCTAGCTTGAAAGAAGGGTGCAATCTCAAACACTGATCCTCCTTCTTCTATCTGTCTTTCTGCCGAGGTATCGCAGCTCCCGCTGATTTAATAACACAAAGAACGAATTGGTATTACTTCCCTTGAGTGACATTGTTGCAAACTCCGCATGCATCACATCCACACAGATTGGTAGAAGAGCATGTAAAGTTAACCCTCTCAATATCATTACAGAGTGTGTGAAGACCCCCAAAGTACACATTGCATGTTGTGGTCATGTCCCATACTTTATCACAGAGGGCATCTGGGATAGATCCGGTTAGTGAGGTGTTAGACAATGTGAGGTGCTCCAATGCCGCCATATTGGTCAGGCTTGTCGGAATCCTGCCAGACAGATTGGTGTCATGAAGGAACACTTCTGGGGTGCTGTTCAAAAGTCCAAGCTCCGACGGAATACTGCCAGAAAAAAATTTGTTGTGGCTCAGTCTCAGAGTCTTGAGACTTGTTAGAAAGCCTAGCTGTGTGGAGAGCGGGCCTTCCAGATTGTTGTTGTTGATTTTGAGTACTCTTAGTTGTCGCCAGTTCTCAAAAATGGACCCAGGCAGCCAGTGTCCCAGTGAAGAAGTTGCCATTCAACAATGCTGTGGTCATATCTGAATCAAAAAGGTGCGCAAAACAGCAACAATCAACAAATGAGCAGGGCTCCATGTCTCCAGCCTTCCTGTGGAGCTTACTTGAGTGGCATACTTACTTGGGAAGAGACCAAATTCTGTTGCAATCGTGCCAGTCAAGGTGTTGTCATCAATGTCTAGGTTTTTCTGCTCAATCAAGGAATCACAACGATGCTGTTGAGAGCCCACACTGCTAACCGCGGGAAGGGAATACCAAAAAGACAAACTTACCAAATTGGTCAACAGGAACAGCTCGCTGGGCACTGTTCCGGTCATGTGGCATTGCCAGAGGTTGAGCATAAACAGATCCGAGAGCAAACCAAACTCAGTGAGGATAGAAGTATTGAATGGGATGTGATGAGCCACAAAACTTTCCAACTTTGTCATTCGGCCAATCTCTGGTAGCAGTTTGCCACCTGTAACACTCTTCAAGCCATGGACATAAAATGTGGCCATGTTGGTCAGTTTGTACAGTTCTGTTGGTAGTGTCCCTGACATTTCGAAGCATCGACGGACACTCAGAAAGTACAGAGCTTCCATGTTGCCCATTTCGCTGGGTAAGGAGCCTGTAAAGGGATTGTACCCCAATTCAAGTTCCTGCAGATTGGAGAGCTGCCCCATCTCTGTTGGAAGTTGACCAGAGTGTTGATTTCGATCGGCATAGAACTTTTGGAGGTTGGTCAGCAGCCCAATTTCAGATGGGATCCAGCCATAGAGGTTTTCATTGGACCCAACCTCCAAATACAGCAAGGAATCACTCAAAAGAGAAATCTCAGGTGGAAGGGTCCCATCCATGTTGTTTTCTGTAAAAACCAAGTACTTGTATTTTCCATCAGAATTACAGACAGAGTCGGCAAATTGAAGCTCTGCGGATGCCCCTTCATGCTGCTCTCCGAGGAATGAGGTATCCTGCACACTGCCAACAAGCTTTTTGAAGTACCAGGAGCATTCGTCCAGGTCATAGCCAAGCCAATCTGTGTTGAGAATCCAGTCTTCTCCTCCTGTGCTAAAGTAGAACACGGCCAAAGCAAACCTCTGGAGGACTTTCCAAGCAGGATATGACGTCAAATTGGAATCACTTAGAATCCAATCGTAGGCAAGGGCTTGTGGAGAGTCTGGGTCTTCTAGGGCATCGAGTGTACTGTCGGGGAGTCCATTCCATGTATCGGCAAGAATGGTTGGAGAGGCTGTGGGGGACCTGGACGGAGCTTCTGTTGCGGGCATTTCCTCGCCGCTGGAGGATGATTCCGCTTGATTGTCATTATCGATGCCAAAAATGAGCCCCAACAGGACAATGAATGCCAACAAAATGGTGCCACCTAGAGCAATATGGCAGATCGTTTTTCGTCTCTTGCAATTGCGTGCATCCAAGGAGGCCTCTAGCTGCCCCATGTTGACTTCCTGTGCTGTGCCCAGCACCGGAGGGGCTCCCGTCTCGGAGACTCGCAAGGCTGTTGGGAGGCTTGCTGCGTTTCTAATGTCCAGTGTAATGTTGTTTCCACTTCCGAGACTGCTCAGTGTCAATGCGGTACCACTGGGTTGATCCGATAGCGACATGCGCCATTCGACTCGTTGGGCTTCACTGTTTTGGACACTGTAAACACCTGGCTGCATTCTGGAATGATGAGTCCCACTTCGTCCATCTCTTTGAAGTGTTGTGGTGGGTGGACGTAGTTCACCGCTGACGCTAGTACTACATGTGGGTTCCACAGTTGTTTCCTTTTGGGTCTTGCCAGCCTCAACGTTCTCCATTGCGGAATTATCGAGTGCGGCATCCACTTCATCATTGACTAGTACCATTTGAGAGACTTGTTTTTGGGTAATCGTACTGCTTTGAATATTTACTGTTTGGTCAAGACCTTCTCTGTTGGGAGGATGGGACGTTTTTTCTTGTGCTTTTTCCTTCTCACGAAGATCTTTGGAAGAACAAGCGTTCTTTTCTCCATCACCGTCACTTTCCAACACTAAATCCAAGACCTGATCGCGGGCAGCCGCCGCTCTCGCAGAACTGGAAAGAGGGTTACTCTGCCTCTCATTGGTGGTACCAGCGCTCACTGAAGTAGAGGTGCCATGGGTATACATAGTGCTTTCAACAACCATGGTGACTGCTGAAATATTTTCTGAGAGGTGATTGAAGATAAAGCAAGAGCGACTTGGGCGACGTAAATGGTCATAGGGTACATGTACACTGGTGCGTGTACGGATCAATAGTACAGGCGTGAAGGATACATGTCTCCCTTGATACTAAGATAGTTGGAGATGAGATGTAAACTACTGAGATTTGCTGGAATGCTGAGATAGACTCTAGAGATCTAGACTACTGGAGACTCTCAGATCTGCACTAGAGCAGCTACTAGAGCTAAGATACCCAGTCAGCACTTTCCCTTGGGCACATAAGAGATCGAGAGATGATACGATGACACTTATCTACAACAAATGCCTTTTTAAAAAACAGGCGCCAAAAGTCAAACATTTGCCTTTGGCAGGTGATAAACTGCTCAACCTCTCTTCACCTCTAACTAAAGGGTATGTTGAGTAAGATGGGAAGCAGAGTAGAAATGTTCCATAGCACTCCCTTCCTAATCAGAGTATTAAGATACTACATTACCCTGGTGATGGATCCTGAGCTAAGATATAAGTTCAGTAGGAATGTTTATTTGCGATACTGCTAAAAGATTGAATGATCATTCCCCCATTCCAGGAAGGCAGCCTGTTTTAGAGATAGGGTTGACACGTGCCATCGCTAAAAAGCCAGAGCTTTTCTTATTCGCGGGAAGTCGCGGTAAGTCGCGCTGAATTCGCGCGATTCGCGCTGAAAGTCGTTCGCGATTCGCGGTAAGTCGCGCTGCGCGAATGGTACTTTACTAGTAACAATACGAAGAAAGACAATGTAAGTCGCGCAAAGTCGCGATGAACTCGCGGAATTCGTTCTATTCGCGCAGCGCGAATCGCGGTAAGTCGCGGTAAGTCGCGCAGCGCGAATGGGAACGACTTTCAGCGATCCGAGTTGAAGCTAGGGTTAAGGCCTGATCGGCTGCCTTCCAGAGGCCTCGACGCAAACTACGGGATATTTTATTTTTAAATATCAAGGGAAGAGTGTAGAGGGATACAGAAGGATGTCACACCTATTGGTTCTGGTCTTGGATAAAGGAGAACCCTTGAAAGGAGAGGCTGGCGCTTGAGGACTCAACTCTACATAAGCCAGCAGAGTCTCATTCTGACCTGGCCTCCAGCTTCACCGAAACCGTTAGATTTGAATGTTGCTGCCCAATGCGACGCGCTCACTGTCACGCTCCTCTTTGCTTTTCCCTCCATCTCCAATCCACCTGTCCCAGATCGATCACCATGAAGTCCCTTTGGAAGAGAGTGCTGCCTTTGGACCGGCGACGAGGATTCCATCAGCAGAAGGATGGCTTCTCTGGGCGAAGCAAAATGCGATACTTTTGGTTGGTGCTTGTCTGCACAATAGCGTCACATTTCATCCTGACAACCTTGTATGTGCCCGCCCAAACCCTCGGATTGTTGGAGAGCATGATATCCACGGCCACCGAAGAAGAAAACCGTGTGGAGCGCAAAAAGTTTGAACTGTTCAGTTTGTCGAATTTTGATGCCGAGCAGGAACGAGAGACGCACGAACAAGTGCATCATGAGAAAAACCGCAAGAAATTTGAGTTATTTGCTCTGGGCGGTTCCAAGGATTCTGTGATCAAGAGCAAGAAGGAATCATCACGAGAAAAAGCAACCAGCAAAGAATCCCTCCAATCAACACAGCTCTACACTTATAATGTTCCATCGTGCCAGGAAAGTGCTAATACTAGTACCACCGTGGCCGAGAGTGAACCCATCATTTTCGAACCATCCATTGTCCCTAAATCTGTGTTGATTCGAGGAGGTGGACTCCTGCAGATAAAAGTCGGTCAGTACCGATTCCATCTTGGGTCCGTCATGGAATCTGAAGGATGCGTGGATCTTTATGAATCAATCCTGGCAAACCAAGCACCCGTACAATTCACACTGCTCCCTGACAAGCACCCGAGAGTTCTGTCACGGAGCAAGCAGATTCCAGACACGTTACAGCAACAATTCTCTACAGCAACAGACCTATCCCAGCCTCACACCAAAATAGTCTTTAGTGCAACATCCAGTGACTACTTTGGTTATCAAGTCTATGCTCATGCTCTGGGGTTCCTTCAGTCCAACCAAACCAATGCCAGCTGGATGAGATTGTTGACGGCACGAATACCAGACGACCTCTCGGAAAGATTCCCAACATTCACAGCACCCCAGTCCATTTACAGTAGGGAATATGCCCCCATCAACAAGGCTGATGTCATTGACAAGTGGATGCACTCTGCAGATGCACCTCACCCAGGTAAGTCCAAGCAACATACTATTGGTACTATCTAATGGTACGGAGCGCTCCTCTTTTTACTGGCCTTTCTAACCTCTTGATAATAAAGATGACACTATTGTGGTGATTGACCCCGACAACTGGCTGCTAAAGGATGTACACAAGTGGACTAGAGATGTTTCCTCCAAACAAGCAGTTGGTCAAGTTGCCTATTATGGTTGGGATGACAAGATAAAGACGATTTGGAAATCAATCTGCAAAGAGAATTGCGAGCAAAAGTTGGACCCAGTCGGTGTTCCCTACTTTGTCAAGGCATCTGACTTGAAAGAGATTGCCCCACTGTGGAGGACCTATTCTATTGCCATTCGTCAAAACATGAGATTCGATGAAGAATGGAAGAAAAACTATGCTAGTCTTGGCATTGAATGGGCCGCCGAGATGGTTGGCTTCAATGCTGCCTGCGCACATCTCCAAATCAAGACCAAGGTTGTTGACAATCTGCAGGTGAGAGATACCTCCACCACCCGCAACTGGCCACGATGGTCCAATGTACCCATGATCCACATGGGACGTGCTTGGTTCCCCGACACGGAAAAGGAGCTGGCTGCTCCATGGGTGAATGAAGATGATGGAGGTTTTAGCCACAAGGGGATTCAGGTGTGGTGCAAATGCAATGCCACGGCAGCCAAAGTGCAACCGTGGCCCATGCCTGAACAGGAAATGGACTTTGTCTCGTATCACACGCTTCGGCTCTTGCATGACTCTATTGAACACTTTGGGCCTGTCCCGGTCAACGAGACGTATCGCCTCGAGGGCAACCCGTATTTGACTCCAATCTAGCTCGGTAGCTATGCATACGGTTGCCATTACCTGGGAGGGATGCTCTGTGGATCCGGCTGCAGCTGTCGCGCTGTTGGGTTTCGTTTGATGGTTGTGTAAGGATGTACTAGTAAGGATTAATTGTATAAGTCTCATCGGGGTCTCCCCTTAACTCCACATCAAAGAAAGCATTATGTTCATCATTCATCATAAGAAGCATTTTCAGAAATTTTTCATCGCCTCAAAACCTTTTCTCGCAACCGCAATGAGAAAGCAAAACTCCCTCCACATGGAGTGGTCAGGAAAGAGGAAAGGTATCCGAGGCTCCGTCGCTTCCGACTTCCAACCCAACAGGCAGGCAGTTTGCTTAATTTTCCTAATCGGATAGCGAGAAATAATGCCATCCGCACTACGACGAGGAAGAGGGAAGCTAGTGCAAACGCCCCTCTCTCGGGAAAGTCAACCACGAGCAGCCAAACCCTTTCTTGTATATGTTGCCGTGAGCGTCGTGGTGATCCTGGTTCTGCATGTGAACCTTTTGCTCCGGATTCATCCAGGAATGGTGCAGTTGGAAACACCGACCACTCTGGAAAATCCATCCGAAGCACGTCGCGTGGAGGAAACCAAGAATCAAGCGCCCCCATCGTCCAAACCCAAGGTGCTAGCTTCTGGTCGCGAGAAAACAACTCTGTCAGTATTCAAAGATGCCAACTGCAAAGGAATTGCCGCAAAGCAAATTACCGCCACATCGTCAGAGGCTGTGGAATTGTTATTGGATTATTTGCCAAAATCTGCTCAGATTCAAGGAGCTGGTCTGGCCCAGGTCTTTGTGGGAGACAAATATGCATACGTCGGGACAGTGATGGAACTAGAAGGCTGCGTGGACTTTTACAATTTGTTTGACGATGTCCAAAATGATAAGAGCAAGTTTTCCGTGCACTCTTCGTTGGACAGTCAGGTTGTCACCACAGCTCGAAAGCAGGTGGATCCAGCTCTACAACGACAATTTGCCACTGTGAATGATCTCTCCAAACCCCATACTCGGTTCATCTTTAGTTGTGAATCCAGTGAATATTTTGGCTATCAGGTCTATGCCAATGCCCTTGGCTTTCTCAAGTCGATGCAAACCGATGCCAGCTGGCTCCGTCTGTTGACTAGTCAAGCTCCAGATGATCTCAGTGAACGGTTTGCCACCTTTACTGCTCCACGACAGCTGTACAGCGGCTTTTACCATCCCATCAACAAGGCAGATGTCATTGACAAATGGATGCATTCCCTCGACGCCCCTCATCCAGACGATACACTCGTTGTGATAGACCCAGACAATTGGCTCATCAATGATATTCACAAATGGGCGACCAGAGTCTCTGCCAAGCACGCTATGGGGCAGCGAGCTTACTATTCCCAAAACCCCATGCTTCAGGAATTGTGGCAAGAGATTTGCCTCAACAATTGTCAAACTCCAACCGATTTTGCCGCCGTTCCCTATGTGATCAAAGCCTCCGATATGAAAGAGGTGGCACCGTTGTGGCGATCCTACTCGATCGATATCAAAGAACGATTCCAAAACAACGTGACATTCAAAGAAAAATATGGCCCTGGCTTGGGCGTCCGATGGGCGGCGGAGATGTTTGGATACAATGCTGCTTGCACTCATTTGAACATCAAAACAACCATTGCCAACGACATGCAAATACGAGACGTGGATGGTGGCAAACGAAAATTTGAATTTTTGAATGGCAAGATGCCCATGATCCACATGGGGAGAGCTTGGTTTCCAAGAGAGAAACCAGAAATAGCGGCACCTTGGCGACACTCGAGCAGCAACGAGCCAGGATCCATTGCGGCATCGGGGATTCAGGTGTGGTGTAAATGCAATCAAACAGCTCCCAAGGTACTGCCTTGGCCACTGCCGGATGGGTTGGATTTTGTATCTTACCACACACTGACGCTGCTGCATGATTCCATAGAAAAGTTTGGTCCCATTCCGGTGAATGAGACCTGGCGGAAGAAGAGGACAGTGTTGTATGCCTGGAGTCATCCATGATAGTGTTTGGGGGCCAAGTGCTGCATCCAAATAGCTAGCTAGCTGGGGAACGAATGCATCTCTCGCACCGTACGGTACACCTTATTTCGACCAGAGTCTTCTCCGCCCAAAGCAACGAGGATGATTTGAGTCACCAATTTTAGTCCAGTAATTCGTAGATTGACTTGTATTTCTAACCACATCAGACTACAGCATAGACACCCTCTGACTATGCCACTTTAGCAAAATAAAAATTTAGATGATTCTTCTACTTTGAAAGAACTGGACGATATGTCTGGCCTGAGTAAATCCTGTCATGATCAATACACAAGTCTGGACAATGGGCCAAAAGGTAGACGCTGCATGCATGGATTCCGTGTTTTGGTGAAAGACTGCGGAGAGACAAAAGTGCAAGGATCAAGGGGGCCAAGATGAGAGACTTTTACCAAACAATTGTTATGCAGAAACCATACAAGAACCACTGGGCAGATTCTCAGTGCAAAATCAGCAAGCAAACAAAGGATGTCCTTACCAGCTTCTCGAGATTTGGAAAAATCTGCCTCGGACAGAAGGGTCTTCATTCCATTCTGAATTCTCTTCATTTCCATTTCCATATGAGACAAATTTCCTTCGAGGGATGCTTCGTCAACGCTCGAGTCTTTGTACTTTTGAGAATCTTCGATATCAATTTGAATTCCAAATCTCATGTTATTCTTGACGGATGCTCCGGATGCCCTCACGCAAATTTTGGCTTCGCCATCGACTTCTACCTTGTGCATCAACTCACCCTTCCGATCCTTGAGCAATTCCGATGTTGGCTTTAATCGTTGTTGTATCATGGAGGGATGGTTGCCCGTGTCGAGTACTCGTTTGGAAGGAGTTACACTTACGGAAATATAGACGGGACCATAGCCAGGATCCGTCGTGTCTTCCACCAAGTCTAAATCAGAACGACAATAAAAGAGGATCAGACAAACACCATTAACTCCACAGTAACACTAATCACAATCTACAGAGACTAGACTAGACTAGACTAGACTAGACTCACCTGGTGCCTCATAGACAACTTTCAGGACGGTATCTTGGGGTGCCGTCACGCTCAAACATCTTGTCTTGATCATGCCCAAAATAAACATCGGATACGCGGCTGTTGACGCCAGGAGGCTTGCCAAGATCAGGAGTCGTTGGATCATGGTGTAAGGGGTGGTCAGCACTCGTTGTCTTGAGCTCATTGCGGCTTTCGGGTCAAGTCTTGCGCTTCCTTTCGGAGTGCTGTGTCGCTTTGACGGCCCTGCCGCCATCGTGGAAAGAAAAAAGATTTAGCTCTATCCCTACTGGTAAACTCTGCCCAGTACACTCAGTTCGATTTAGCGTCCGAACCTCCTCATGATGAGGGTGGAAAAACCACCACAACGCACACGGTTCTTGAGAGTAAGTGTTGAACGGGGGCCATGACACTTCGCTTGTCTTGGTGGACTTGTATTATCTGGTATGGTGGAGTGATGAAGCGTCATGTTGCCAAGGCTGCAGCCGGCCGCAGAGAGATCGACTCGTCAATACTATAGTAGAGGACCCACTGTTCGCATCAGCATGACGATGAGATCTTGTTGGCCATCCATCGGCATTTTGCTGCTACTGATGTATTAAGCTCACCATTGTCGTTTGTTCACCCCCCTTTTATTGCTATAGCTAGTTTGTTTTTTCATAATCAACAGTAACAATGGCTGAACCCAAGATTAGCAAGGTGAGAAATAAATTATTGTCAATGTCTCCAGTTTTGGTACTGTACGTAGTTTCATTGACCGCTGGGCTCACCGGACCGACCCTTTGATGCCGTCTATTATACAAGATTTTCTCGGCGGCTCCTCCGGAGATGAACAAGGAACAAGGTGCCATCCTCTCCATGGTCAAGCAAGTCCGTACTGCTCCTCGTGATGAGCGCTTCCCCGCCCAAAACCAAGCCCTTCACTGCTGGAATCGTTACAACGAGTGGCTCCTCTGCACCAAGCAATCTGATGAAGCCAAGTGTGCCCCCTTGAGGCAGTACGCCAATGCCATCTGCCCTGATGCCTGGTCGGAGCAGTGGGACGAGGAACGAGAGTCCGGCGCCTTCTCCGGAATTGGTCACCGTTTCAATTCCAAGCATTAAATATTAATTGCGACACACGCACACACAGAGAGAGAAGAGTATAGTCGGTCATCCATGCATCATGGGTTGACAGATTATAAAGGATTATTGATTAGTGGGTTGGTTGGAAACCCAGGTTGGCAGTAAATGAGAAGGCTGTAGTTGTGTGTACATGTTGGAGGAGAAGGAAGATAAGAGAAAGATCCTGTGGACATTTGTGCGGTGGCAAACCACCCGCAATGATGGAAATCATCACATAATTTGAATAATTGTTGAATATCGTACGTGGTCAATGATACATGTAGGCTCTCCGACCATTGGCCCAGCAACCAAGGAGACTTTATGGCTCCTTGTTTTGGAGTGAGGACGCTGAAGAATACGACGATGGCCAACTAACTTTTCCTCTGGAGTGGGGCATCAAAGAGTGTCCCAACTTCAAAACTTCGTTGCACATGATTTCTCGTGGAGTATTCAGTACGCACCAAATGGAGACTGGCAAGGCGAACTACACTCGCTCCACAGTAACCGTTTCTGCATCAAATTCGACGCGATGCTACACATTTCCAAAAGTTAACCATCAAAGTGGTATTTTTATATACAGTTTATGTACTAATCTAGATAGCAGTGTGTTTCTTCCTTGTTGTGTCTGCCTTGTGTGTGGGTGTGTAGCTGCAGCACGTCTTTTTGTGTTTCGTCGTCAGTATCATGCATTATGCCACGGTCAATAGGTACTCCTCCAAACTTTCCGCTTCGGCTGCTTCTCGGAGCTTTTTGAGGCATTGCTTGGCCAGTTGCTGCGTTCGTGTCTCGCTGAGACCCATGGCTTGGGCGCACTCTCGGAGCGACCGAGTTTTTCCATCACCCAATCCATACCTCAAACGCATCAAACGCGCTTCTCGTGCATCCAAGTTGCGAGCCATGGTGGCCACAACATCGGCATGCATTTGAGTTCGCTCGGCCAGATCCGCATCGGCACGAAAGGCGGCATCGTTTTCCATCTTGTTTTGGGATCCAGTCTCGGTACCACTGCGTGTTTGTGTGGCATATTCGTAGTCCAAACTCATGACTTGTTGCGCCTGTGACATTTTCTTTTTGGTGGACAAGACTTCGCCCACTTTCATGCCCAAGTGATGCGCAATTTCTTCCACGGTTGGCTCTCCCTTTAACTTTTTCAGTTCCGCATGGGCCTTGACAATCTTGTTCCACTTGGTCTTTTCCCGTTGGGGAAGCGTGATGCTGCCATCGGAAATGTGCGAGTTTTGCAAGGTTCCTTTGATCCAAATAGTGGCATAGGTACTGAACCTCAATCCCCTGCTGGGATCAAAGAGTTCCGCCGCACGGAGCAGTCCCAAACTTCCTTCTTGGATCAGTTCCTCTTTGGATAGACCGCTCAAGCGACGAATGGTGTGGTACTGCTTCTTAACCACCGCATGAACTAGTCCCATGTTGGCAGACACCAACAATTGCTTGGCTTGTCGATAGGCCGATACTTGCTTTCGCAATTCCTTGGGAGAATCCAGTTCGGCCAGTTCGGTCCATTCCCAACGACTAATCTCTCGTTTCTCCTTGGACTCAAAGTCGGCCTTGAGTTTGTGCAATGCCACGCCTCGTTGAATCATACGGCCCAACTCGAGCTCTTGTTCGTGCGAGACACGGTCGGCACCGTAATTAAAGGCATCAATGGCAGGACGAGGCAGTTGTTGGGGAATGCTCGACATGGCCACCTTTTCCATCATGGAGGCATTTTCCACGTGAGCATCCAAAAACATGTCGGGGGATGTTGCCACTGCCGAGTCAATCTGTTGCCGGAGTTCGTCGTTCAAGATTTCGGATTTGGTCGATCGTTGGAGTTTCTTGACCGAGTCGACATTTTCACGAAACAGCACGGACGAAAGAAGTTCTTCGTCTTCGTCTTCCGACGCATAACCCTCATAGTATTGGAGTGGATTCTTGGGAATCCTTTGGCTCCTTCTAGTAGCTTCCTCAGTCGGGATTGTAGAAACCTTTGACCCCACTTTCACCTTGAGTTTGCTTTTGGTGGGCGCTCTACTAGCAGTAGTGACCATGCCCATGGCTGTCGGAAGACTGGCCAAACTGGCAGCTACCATGAGAACTCCAAGGCGATTTCTCTTCATAACATTCTTGGAAGTCGATGGCATCTTGAAACGTTTGTTGTTGTTATCGTTGTGGATGTGGAGCAACAGACGATTGCTGATTTTATGAGAAGCTTTGGGTGCAGGCGAAGGATTGTGGTTTTTGGACTATGTCAGCAACCGCCAGCAATTGGTACTGCTCAGTCTCTCTTCCGGAAAGGCTGACCTGAGTCGGTTGCGTTGTGTTTGTCTGAATCAGAGCGGGATCTACAGTTTCCAAACTCTTCCATCATCATCTCATCTGGTGGCAATCCAAGGCACACAGATAGATGTGACGATACCATTCCGCTGATTCATTCAGGTTCGATGGCAGTTCTCAACCACGTGGATCATTAGCCACTAAAAGGAGGCACCAATAGCCCCGATCTTCAGAACACGTCATTCAACCGGTATCCAAAGCAAATGACGTATATTTCTTTGATCCACGTCCGAAAGCTCAAACCCTTTTGTAGTTGTTGATAGCTTTGAAAAGATCCACTCTGACATGCCCTCGAAGCTGCCATCAAAATCCCGAGGCTCTGGCTACCGTACGGTACGGTACGACTGTAGCCCACCACCAGAGGGTCTCATCCAAGCAGTTGTAACAGCAGCGGCCCACCTGTGCTGGTCAAGAAGAGAGAAAAGAAAGAGAGCCCACAGGAAAGAAAGATGCAGCATCTGGAGGGCCTGGAGGATTCACCGGATTGGTACTCCCTGCTCAACATTGCAAATTCGGCTTCCCAAGATGAGATCCAAAAAGCCTACAAAACCTTGAGCAAGACATTCCATCCGGATCGACTAAGAGCCCATAATGCAGCCGAATCAGAAGAGGCGCAAGAAACCTTTGTGGCCGTCAAGACAGCATGTGAGTTAGTTGGGAATCAATATCCAGTCACATTTCTGATTATTCGTCTCATCCACTTGTTCTTCCTACCGTACAATTCTCGCAGATGAAATTCTGGGTGATCCAGTCTATCGCTTTGCATATGACCATTATGGGCACGAGGGTGTTCGATACCTGGCCACATGCCAACAAGTAAAAGATGGGCGACAATCTACCCAACAAAACACGCTGGCCTTGGATTTGAATCTTTACAGCAAGCTCCAAGGTCTTCTGCAAAAAAGCAGCAGTGATGTACAAATGCAGCTTGCCATCCAACTCATGAAGCAAGCCATGGAACGATACAAACAACAATTAAAAGTTATCAAGGAACGACTGCAAGATTCCATATTTTCCGTGGAAACCACCCTTGAGTTCCCATGTGAATATCACAGTCGAGCCGCCGTGGTGGCAGAAGGAGAAGGAAGCCTTCCTTACTTGGAGATGGAGGAAGCTCGGATAGAGTTTTCTGTCAAAACCACAAATCAAAAACCACGACAACCAAATGGTGCCCAGCCACCCCAGGGCCGTGTTTACTCAACAACGCTCGGAGCAAAAACTACCTGGACGGCTTCCGGGAAGAGCAGGGCGGAAGTTTCGGTAGAAGGCAATTACAAACCCATGCCGTCTTCCAAAACATCCATTGACTGGGAGGTTAGTACACCTGTTACCAAGGTCCCCAACATCCACACCCGACCCGTCAAGCTACAACTCTCCAGCACTCATGAGTTTCTGGGTGGGACCTACGCAAACTTTGGGATTCGCGGATCCAACGTTTCCCGTGGTGCATGGGAATACTTTGCTGTCACACATCGCCGATTGATAATTGGAAACAACAATAACAACAATAGCAATAGCAGTGCAGCGACGACCCCAATGTCTCTCCCTAGCATAAGTGCCTCTTGTGCCGGAGGCATGAAAGCATTCAGCGGTCAAATATTGTATGGATTTCTGACGCTTACGACGGTTGTTCCGCCTCAACGGCAACAGCAACAAACACAAGAGCAACACAACAGCAATGAAACAACAACTACGTCTTTCTGGTCCCCATCAACGTGGACTTGCTCTACACCAGTATTATCGGTTCGAGCAGGGTACCACCCATTTCCGCTCTTTGCTTCGCTCAAGTGCGAAGAATTTGGGAAACCGTGGGCATCCCTCAACGCATCTTGGTCTTGGAACTTTATGGAAGATTTCTCAAAGATCAAAGTTCTGCTGTCGGCCGATTTGTGGGGATCCTTTGAGGACAATGATACTACCACAATACGCACTGGGATCAAGCATGACTTGTATTCTGGTTGGACTTGGCTTTGGGAGTGGGAAGAAATGGATTGGACCTTTAAAATGCCCATCTCTTTGTCGCTGTCAAAGAATGCTAGTTGGATGGCTGTGGCCATGGGATTGGAAACAACTCCCTCGGATGCATGGCACAACGCATTGGGAACATTACTGGCATGCTGCATTGTTTCAAAGGTAGCAGAAACAATCATGGACGATTGGGCTCCACAACAGCAGCGCGACAAGAGGAAAAGTTTCAATGCAAAATCAAGAGATGCCACATTCAGCGAACCAAACAGGAAGCATGTTCTGGACCACAGCCCTAGTGAAGAAGGATTCCGATTGCTCATGACCAGAATTGCCGAAAAAAAGCGCGGCAGTGAAGGACTGGTGATTCAATCCGCAAAGTTGGTCACAAGCGCTGTTACACCATCACCTGTCGTGGATGGAATGGAGGCAGCCCAAGGCAAACCGACGCCATCAAAGGATGCGAAAGATTTGACTCAAGTTCTGCAGTTTTGGGTCAAGGACGGGAAAGTATCACTTCCATGCTTGGCGTCCCAAACATCGTCAACTCAAAACTTCTACGGCGTTGGTGGGGTGGATAGAACTTTGGGAGAAAGCGGTAGCGACTCCACGTTCTACTCCCTAGCTGTGTCTTTGATCAGCCATGTTTCTGAAGTTTGTTTCGAACAGGTCGCAACTGTTGTGAACACATTGGATCCAGCAGGCAGGAGGAGAGTGTCAGAGACCAGCAATACCAAAGGATTGGATTATCCTTACGATCTCCTGGTTCGTTATCAATACAGAGGCAACATTTACGAAACATGTTTCGAGGGCCACGAAGAGATTGAACTTCCGAATCCACAAGCCCTGTTGTTGGGTCCAGCATCAACTGTAGCATAATCAGCTCTAGCTAGCTGGGCAGCTCCTGTAATGGTGGTCAACCACAGGAAGTAGCTAGAATTCATCAGTGACAAAGCGTAACATTGACGTGGTATTCAGTCCTTAGTATAGATCTAGTTTTGACAAAAGCAGTCATCTTCTTCATTATTTATTTCTTCATGAATCCGCTGACACCACCTCCCAATGCTCCCATGGCAGCACCTGCTTTGGCACCATCACCGGCATCCATGTTGGGAAGAATAGCTCCAGCAATAGCACCCATAGTGGCTCCTCCTAGTGCTCCAACACCAGCACCTTTAACCACATTAAAGCCAGTTTTCTTCATGCCATCGCTCTTACTGGGATCTGCTGCTGTAGTTGTGGCAGGTTGTGTAGCATATGCCTGTTGTGGTGCTTGCTGCTGGCTGTAATCTACTTGCTGTTGCTGTGGTACAGGCTGGTAGTAGGTCTGAGTTGGATAAGTTTGTTGGGGTGGTGGAGTGGGTGTGTAGGTTGGTTGAGCAGGTGCATATGTTGGCTGAGGGGGTGGCGTAGGTGTATATGTTGGTTGAGGGGGTGGCGTGGGTGTATAAGCTGGAGGCTGCACATAAGCAGGTTGTGCTTGAGCAGGGACAATGGCTTGCTGTTGTTGTTGCTGCTGCTGCTGCTGCACTAGTTGATCATACATGGTCTTCAAATTCTGTAGCTCTCCCTGAAGGCGCATGTTGTCTGCCTCTAAGGCAGCATTGTGTTGCTTGAGAGAATAGTTTTCTGTTTCAAGCATTTGGATACGAGGATCTGGAGGTGAAAAACTGGAAGGAGTGTTGGCGGCAGGAGAAGGACTGTAGGATCTGTTGGGTGTAGGACTGTAGGAGGGTGCAGGACTGTAGGAGGACCCTGTGGCAGCTGCAGAAGGAACATACGCGTTTACAGCATAAGCAGTTGCAGTAGGCACACAGCCTGCCTTTTCTCTCTGAATGGCATTCAAGAGATTGGTGGCATCCATGGGAGTGAGGGCAAGATCATCGATTAGATCTTCGGGAGTCATTTCCACCAAGAATGCCCCGTCCACTTCACAGCTTCTAAAGACATCCACATGGCTACCAAAACCATTTTGAATGAGCCAGCTAGAGACTTCAGAGATGTTGAATTTTTCAATTTGTGTCATGTTGTGTGTTGATTGTTTGTTCGTCGTTCTTGGTTTTACTTTTGCTTTGCTTTCGCGTTTGTTATTGCTTTTGCGTTTGCTTTGTGTTGCTTTCTGTTTTGTGAGCTTGTGATGAGCAACCATGAGTTTCGCAAATTTGATGTGACCCTGGTCATAAATCACACAACCGGCAAAAGAACCATCGACACATGACGCATGCAGCTTTTGAGCTCGAGGGTCAGTTGAGTCGAGGTAAAGATATGCATAGAGTTAAACTCCGCTACCGTAGCTACCGGTAGCATGCATTTAACAGCTCTGCAGCGTTCTGGAGGAAGAAGCCTCATCCGTCCAAATAGAATGGTAGACGAGGAGGGTGCTCTTCCTTGGTGCAGTCCTTCGACATTTTCCTTGGAAAAGCTTTTTGGACTTAGTTTCCGCCCTGGATCGTTCCTCAATCGTGCATGACTTTAAATCCGACCCTAATTTAGGGTCGGTTTGGGGGAATCCGTCCCTAAATATAGGGACGTTTTTCAAACCCGACCCTAAATCGAAACCGACCCTAAATTAGGGACGGTTTTTCAGAAACCGTCCCTATTTTTAGGGTCGGTTTCGAAACCCAACCCTAATATTGGTGCGTTTTCAATGTATTTACCACTCAGTCCCGTTTCCATTTAGGGACGTTTTTCAAACCCGACCCTAAATCGAAACCCGACCCTAAATTAGGGACGGTTTTTCAGAAACCGCCCCTATTTTTAGGGTCGGTTTCGAAACCCGACCCTAAAGGGAATCCGACCTTAAATCCGACCCAATTTTGGGTCGATTTCATGCACGATTGAGGAACGCTCCTGTGAGTACCGTGTGAGTGACTCTATGACAAACCCAAGACGCTTCTTCTTCCACGACATGATCATGTCCCACTTTCTGACTCAAGAGGTGCGTTGAGCAACAGAGGTGCTTCGCTGCATGCCTTTGTGGTTCAAGGAAGATAGGTAATGAGCCAAAACGAAGCACATCAGTTGTTCCTCGTTGATGTTCTAGAAGGTTCCAAGACATTTTCGTGCATATTAATGTCTGAAGAACATAGGACATCATACCGGTACTCACACGGTACTCGAAAACTTTTCCAATCAAAATGTCGAAGGACCGCACCAACAAAGAGCACCCTCCTCGTCTACCATTCTAATGAACAACGCGAGGCTTGGTCTTAAAAACATGAGTTTCGCACCTTCGCCACCTTTGCCGTTACGTCAGCTACGACATCAAGCACGACTGAACGGCGAAACTTTACCTTCGCGACTTTAAAAAAGCTAGCATTTCTAGGCCGCGAAGGTAAAGCTTCGGTTGGTCGGAGTTGACATCTGTTAAATGCGCGGTAGTCATACGATACTCACAAGTTGGTAATTAGAGTGAATCCAGCCGTTGACTGCGTCAACGTTTTGAGTTCAAATCTAACATGATTCCAAAAGGGTTGGATGTAAATGACTGAGTGAATCTACGCAAGAGTGACATCAGGCTTCTAGAAAGTTCGAAGGTTGAAGTGGCGAAGGTGCCAAATTTGGATAAGACCAAGCCTGTCTCACTGCGCACGGTTGCCTCGTTGTCATGCTATAAAAAGGACACCAGAGGTGTAATAGATATACGGGGCGAGCTGAATTGAAAGATGTGCAACATAAGTCATTAGATTTTTGCGTCTGAGAGTCTGAGAAAGCGGCTTGGGAGCTTAAGGGAGTTTAGAGGTGTGCAATGCGAGCAATTAGATTTTCCCATCTGAGGAAGTGGCTTGGTAGCTTAAGGGAGTTTAGAGATGTGCAACGCAAGTCATTGGATTTTTCCATCTGAAGAAGTGGCTTGGTAGCTTAAGGGAGTTTAGATGTGTGCAACACGAGTCATTGGATTTTTCCGTCTGAGGAAGTGGGTGGTAGCTTAAGGGAGTAGATATATACAACGCGAGTCATTGGATTTTTCCGTCTGAGGAAGTGGCTTGGTAGCTTAGGGAGTTTAGAGATGTGCAATGCGAGTCATTGGATTTTTCCGTCTGAGGAAGTGGCTTGGTAGCTTAAGGGAGTTTAGATGTGGGCAATGTGAGGAAACTATTGGGATCCGTTTCTATGATTATGAGAAAGTGTGAGGAATTCGGAAAATGGGGTCCCACGTGGGGGGCTGAAGTCCATTAGAGAAACACTAACCCTAAGGATAACTAACCAAAGCCCACCACCACAAAAGATGGCCTCAGAGATCACCGGGATCTGCCCTGTATATATAACAGGGTCAGAAATCACCGGGGTCTGCCCGGTGGTACATGTATATTAAAGCACCTGGTTTGTGTCTGGCTGCCAGAAACCCAGAACACACAACATTCAGTATTTCAGAACTCGCCCATGGGCTTTCCCTGAGCTATGGCCCATTTGAATAGCTCCAACATTTCCTGTGGATATTCCTCACTGAGTCTGTTTGTCGCGCAAATGTTCCCATCCTTTCTTGGCGGGGGGGGCTTCTCGTTTACGGTGGTTTCGGGAAAGGTCTCCTCGTTCATGTAGAGTCCAGCACGGCTAAAGCACTCACAGCATTCGGCCTCTGTGAGAGTGTTCTGCAGATCTGCATACCAACGCTTGCTTTTCTTCAAGATATCAAGAACCAGTTTATGCTTGTCCGTTATGACAAACTGCGTGTTCTCTTCGTGTACAAAGGAGCGTAGCTTTCCTCACCGGAGGGCGATAAAGTTGAAATGTTGTTCGTAGTGGAGATGTTGGAATATCCCAACTCCAAACATTGCTTCAACTGTATTTGCAAAGACTGTGACAGCTGCATGGAAGACAACAGGTCCGGCCGCAACATTGTCTGCGCGCCAGCAAAATTGCTGGTACCGACTGAGACCCTGCTGTCCGAGATGTCTTGCGACGAATGCGTACTGGAGGACGAAGTTTGCCATGTTGAAGAAGATGCCATGGTTGCTTGTTGCTGGTTGTTTCTTACCCCGCAACGGTTGAGATTGTGAAAAAAATTATCTTTTGTAAGGTGGTCGAACCCAGGATGTAAGCCAGCCAAAAGCTGTCAATAAAACGCTATCTTTTACACGGTGCTATCCCGAGAACAACAACATCAGGATCGATCGACATCTGCTGCTAAAGGTGTGCTGGAATCGCTGCCAGGGTCAGCGATCGACCTGTTGACAGTACAAGAGCTGTTGCTAATAGTACTGCCGACAGGTTCATCGCTGGTTCTAGTGGGATATTTCCTCCACCTGTTGACTTTGGCGACCATCCGGAAGGGATGTCAATTGTTTCGATTCGGCTGCAAGAAGCCCTTAGATCTCGATGTGTGCTGGAACAACGTGCAATACACGGCTCATAGCCTTATTCGCGACTCGATCCTAGATAGGGTTTGAGTTCGACTCATGACCGAGTCTCTCGTGAATAGTCATTTGAGACAGGGTTCTCAATGACCGCGCTAGTCATACTAGGTTGATGATGAAACATCGCTCTAGATATTTAGCCAGCGTGGAGTACTTCCACGCTACTAGATCCAGGCTAGAAAACTTCAAACTTCCCGTTCCGTTTGGGATCGTGGAGAGACGTAGGATTACTACCACAACCTACTCTATCACACTTTATAGTCTCCCCCGGGAAGCCAGATCTACGATCCCTTGATATGATCTCTCTCGTTGATTAGTTTTCATAGCTTTCTAATCTCTCTCATAACTTTCATTCTCTCAACTCAAAACACTCGAAAGATCTTTACACTAGCTTTTAGCGTAGTGCATTTTGTTAACAAACACAATAGCTTTCAGCTTACCCTCAACCTATTCCTTACCATGAAGATGGCTCAAGGAAAGCATGCGTTCCGCAACTTCGAGAAACAGTTGCGTGACAAACCCATTCTTCCTCTCGTCGACAATGACGAAGAACACGAGATCGACACACTCGTGCCACACTTGCAGACTCGCACCATGTTGCCAAGCGCAAATCAAAAACTCTGACAATGAGGACAACTCCTCTATCAATTAATCACTTGATGGAGAAATCTCTTCTGAGATTAGGCCAGGTGATGACTCAACGGAACCCTGTTCCGATTTCTCATACCAAAGTGATGAGATATCTCACTAACTAGTAAACAAAATTTTTTGCAACTGATGAACTCTACGGCAAATTAGATGATTGCCTAGAAGCTGCTCAACTAGACTCTGAGATCTATTTAGCATCGTTAACCTCGTCCGTGGCCAACCACCTCGTAAACGTCGCAAGACAAGAGACCTCAAACCCATCGTTTATGTTAGATTTAACAAGCGAGAAAAAGGGAAACCAAAACCCGTTACACTCCGTTGCTTGCTGGATACAGGAGCATCCGGAACCTTGATTGCTCAACCTCATGCTAAGAAATTACGCATGAAGGATCTTGGGGGCGTCCAAACGATGTGGACTACCCCTGCAGGAGAATTAAACACCAGCACGAAGTGCAAAGGGTGCATTCATGATTCCTGATTCCACGAAGATAGAATTATCGAGTGGGACTTACACGTCACCAAGAGCTTGGGGGCGTATGACATGATCATAGGTCGAGATATTCTCTCGGACTTAGGTTTCAAGTTCGATTTCACTACCATGTCAGTGGAATGGGACGGCCATCTATTCCTATGAAAGATAGCGACACCAATGAAGAAGAAAACTTTTTTCATTCTGATCCTACGCTGTTGATACAGTGCAGATCGTCTCAAAAAGATTCTTGATGCGAAATACGAACAAGCTGACTTAAGGCAGGTTTGCCAAAGTCAAGATCAGTTAAACACGGAAGAGAAGGAACAGCTTCATTCCTTACTGACAAAGTACTCGACCTATTCGATGTACTTTGGGAAAGTGCGATGGACGACTACGAAGTAGAACTTCTCCCTTATGCTAAACCCTATCACGCAAGGGCTTACCCTATTCCACGGTCCACACAACACTCTTAAGATGGAGGTTGAACGTTCTGCGAGGAGGAGTACTAAGAAGGTAAAACGTTCCAGTGGGGCGGCCACAACTTTCATC